GGGAGGGGCAGGTGCTACAGTAAGCTCGGTTAGGATGTATAGAGGGATAGAAAAGAAAGGATCATCATGTCATGGTCCGGAGGGAGGCCGCGGGTGCTTCTTCCAAGATGCTCTTCTTGTTGATATTCCGTGATACGTGATAATGATCGATTCCTTGAATCTGGAATCCCGCGCAGGTGAAGCTCCAAGCAAGCCGTAGCGCCACAGTTGTAGCCGAGGTGCTTCAAGCGGTACTTAAGTATGGACTGTAACTAACTACACCGTACCGGGTATGCTAAAAGCAACCGGGTGACCACTAACAAAGAACAACTGGAGCTTGTCTGAAACACAGCAAAGGCCAACGCAATCCTCGAGCCAATCAATTGCTTACTATCAACTCCCATCATGCGGTTTCTCTGCCATCCGACACCCGGCTACGTATTTGAGAATGCTTGAAACCAAGATCGCCATCCATTTCGTTCCAATATCAAACACCTAAGTTAGCTGAGTCTTGTCCCACTGGCGGCTGCGAAGGCGCACTACGCCATAACAATCATTTCAGGTAACCTGAAGGTTTTGAATATACCCTACCCCAGTTACTGGAACCAAATGGCGGACAGAACGAATTAAGCTACTCGTTACTGTGCAATGTTAACTGGACTAGTTAGATACGCAGCAAGAGCACAACTAACTATACAGCACATGTGAATGCATGTCTCAGCCGTTTCTCTCCTTCCGATGAACTCTCCCACCACCTTAGGGCCGCTCTCGACCATCTATCCTGGCCTGAGTCAGAAGTGTCTGCCACCACATTGCATCCCGTTTCTTGCGTGGACAAAGCATCCAAGGGCGAGTCTATCTGCAATGTTTCGATGACCACATGCGGCAGTTCCTCCTCGTGATACGTATTGGTAACGGATTCAAGGTCGGCTATCTTCCCTGGTAGACCATTGGTTCCTGCTGCAGGCCCCATTGCTTTTTGAAAGTGGAATCGCATAGCAGGTAGCACCACGGCGGCTTGTTCTCAGCTGGAAGATGCGTCATGGGGTTCTTTCCTGTGGCCAGTACGGTTCTTTGCTGGATTTTGCATGCGTAAGAACCAACTCCAGATCTGCCGCTGCCAACTTTCGGAGGCGTGTATCCAGGCTCATGTCCCCATCTAATTTCCTTCGAGTCCACACCCAAGGTTGCAAAGCTGCATTTTCGTCTTTACCTGCCCATATCCTGTCTAACCTGCTAGGGACGTTCATGCCAGGAACATAGACCTGCTCCAGAAACCAGCGCAGTCCCTTGATAGTTGACGGGATCCTCTTCAGCCTGCGGGACGTGCCGTATTTCAACGATGCTTGTATAAAGTTCAATGTCAGTTCAGCCCAGCTAAGAGCCTCATCAGCAGTTGAGCTTGCCGGGGGTTTGCGAAATTCTATTGTACCGTGTTCTCTCAAGCTCTCAAAATTCCAAGCGAAGCATTTGTCTCCACCTTTCTGGATTGACGTTATTAAATCGTAGGCATCTAGTTTTCGTTCTATTTCAGCAATGGACTCAGAGCGGGACAGCCCAGCTCGTGCTAAGCGAGGGCTATCCAGCCAGTTGCTTTGGCAGAACGGATTTCCTCTGCGTGCTTCAGGCATCAAAGCTTCAAAGGCTGGCTCAAAATGTATGACGGAGACTGCAACTCGCTTGAGGTCTTTCAAGTCGTAGTGTGGAACGAGCGAGACATGTATATGAGTGGCACACGAGTCACATGTGGTAATGGAATAGTGCTGTTCTAGGAAGTTCCAGATCGCTATGACATGGCGTCGCCACCCTGACAGTGGGTAGACGTCGAAAATCGGTGAGATCATCTCCAGTGGCCCTGAAGTAGGGTCAGCATCTATCCGCTTGTGTAGTCCCAGTACCTTCAAAGCAAGGGTGGCTTACATGGTGATTTCACCCCGGACTCTAGACTAGGCTCCTCGGCCATGGTCCACTTCGAGTAGTTATGAGCGCCATGGGGCGAGTCTAGAGTACGGTGCATACGACGATGTTTGTAACCCACTGCCCTGTTGTAGCTGCTGGCCAGCATGTTCACGAAGCTTCCGAGCTGAGCTGCATCATGCTTTGAGCTGAGCGCAGCGAGGAAAAACTCTGATTCGATACCAAGCCGCATGAAACGATATTCACCTGCGTGACCTACTGACGGTTCAGCATGTCTCCGAGAAGTGGCAGCTCTCGAAGGACCAGCAATTCTCGAAGTCGCAGCAGTCCTCAAACCCAAATCAGGACTTGGATGCTGAACCTGTGTCTCTGCCTCGCGTGACGAACTTCGCAAAAACCCAGAGGACCCGCCTTTTAGTGAACTGCTACCATCTGGCCACCTCCTATCATCCTCACGTATTGAGCAAAGCTGTCCCTTGCTCGTACCTCTAATCCGCTGCTGCGAGGATGCAGCTAAGGCTGGAAGTGCAACAGCCGGTCGCCTGGTCAAAGCGGCTGAATGGGATTCCCAGCTACTGGCGGCTGGCGGATTGATGGAGACCGCTGAACGGCTAGGCTGGGGCCTTGGCGAATCCATACGGGCAAAATGCCGGTCTCGAGCCGCAGAAACCCTTACAGGGTTGACAGATAGAGCCACTCGTGCACTAGCCGGATCATTTGGATCACACTGCGAGCCGAAAGTCCTGGACGGATTAGTTCGTGGAGGGCCAGCTCTCCTTTCAGCGAAGGCGTTCGAAGAGACTTGCGGAGGGTGTTGGCCACGCGCTGGGGTTGGGGTCGTGACTGTTACCACATCATTGCTTCCGGATGGGTTCGGTGACGATCTCTCTGATGTCGAGCCTTCTTCAGCTTTAGCATGACGAACGGGCTGTGGCCTAGGTGGGGTAACCTGCTGAGCGACTTGCGGGTTGTTTTCGTTGCGGAGCTCTACAAGAGGAGTAACAGTAGCTATGCCGGAGCTTGGATGTGAGTTTTGAGGAGCTTGCCTACGCAACGACGCTCCAGGCGAATGCAAAGGTCGTCGGCCGAAGCATTTCGTAACACACTCTTCTTCACTTCCACAAGAGCCAAGGCATCCCATCTCGTATCAAGACGGTGTCCAATAGCCGCTTCAACAGAACGAGTGGTAGGGGGCAATCCGTGAGAGAAAACAGTTCAGATCTTTCAAATCGAGGCATGCATGATAGAGGATTGACACTCGGACCATCCACAAGGGGAAAAAGGCTGTGCAATAGAGCACTCATACGTATATATTCGACAGTCTGTCGCCTCACCTCTGATCTATTTTGTAGCGAGAAATGTTCAGAGTCTGCCATAGCTTCAGAAAGCGCTGAACTAGAGTAGGGATGCGCCATCTCAAACACCAGCGTACCAGGTAGCAGTGGTGATGGAGTTGGTCTTGTGTTCTTTTGCTTCCTAGAGATGTGACTAGGGCACATGTGACAAAGCCCTCATGGAAGACAGACCCGGGCACCTGATACCATACTGCATTTTCGTGCGACATACTTGAGACAACTTGAAAGATCGTGGATGTGTCTGGAACGCATCGCCAAGATCGAAGCTTGGTGCGGATGAACGGGCTAACTACTAGTACGTAACTAGTAAGGCTTACTATCCACCGTGGTGCCCAAAATGGAACCCTGGTGAACCGTGTTTCACTATGAATGGCTCATACATCCATGACCAAGAACTGCCACTCGAAGGATACAGAGCTGCGTCTATGGCGGATAAAATCCAATGATCATTAGGCTCAGTTCACGGCAGTGCAGTGGATATGTACTCTTGCGGGTTTTCACCTTCATATCCCAAGTGAGCCAATACAGGGATGTTGTGAGTACCGGCAAAAAGCTCGCTTGTCTATCTTACTGTCTTGTAGTAGTCCTCCTCCATATCTCCTCAGGCGTTATAGGAGCATGGGACTCTGCATTCATCCTTTACGTTGGTAAGATAATATAGAGAAGTCAGTCAAGCACGCATGACACCGAAATAAGCAGAGTAACAGCATGTTCCATATAAAATCTTCCTGAGCTAATAATAGGGCCACATGGAAATCTCTCAACATGAACAACAGTTTGGATAAATGCAGCGGGAAATCATGCCATCAATGGTCTCCCTGCAGCACATACACATTGCTTTTTGAGGTCCTCGTGGCTCCACTTCTATCAAATGGTGTTAGTCTAGTGCTTTTGTGACTGAAAGGTTGTTGGAAATTTTCTTCAAGTTGATTCTTATCCAGAGAGATGACCCACCATACTGCATCTAACTAAATACAGTGAGTCATCTGGTAAAGGTACCAGGGAGTCAATATCGATACATCTATCCTTCTTGACCCTCGGTACCACACATTCGTTTCGTGCAGACTGACATGATGGAGTTTCTTGCTGAACTGGAATACATGGCTACAAATGTTGTGGACGAGCTGAATGCCGAATCTGAACACGATATTCAATCTATTGCAAGATGGCAAAGATTGTTTGCTTACACCCATGCAGAAGCTGCTGCGCATATTATGGATTACCGAGGCAATCTTTCACGTACAAGAGTATCTGATGAGCATTGGGACATTGTGCGTGCCGAAAAGGTGGCTGAAGGCTATGACCGGGAAGCCTATGAATATTCTATAGGCCTTAGAAAATTCAAGAGGCTCTTTACTACAATAACCGCAGACAGCCAGAAGCCGTCGACGTATCTTGTCAAGTTAGAAGGATCCTTGGCCAGTGCAGCAGAAATCCAGCGGGCAACAGGAATGACATCGGCGCCCACCCTCATCAGAGGCATTGGCGACGCAGGAGACGAAGCAAATTTTGTTCGTGTTGATGGCACCGCAAAGAAAGCTATTCTCGATAGTCTGGCTGGCACCACGTTTCAGCCAACATTTATCCGGATCTCTAAGGCTGAAAAGGCGCTGTCCGACTCATCCATGCATCCAATACTCGGTATTGACTCGACCCTTCCACAGCACCGATTAGACCATAGCGGCCCACCATTAACCTACTCGCCAGCCCAGGATCAGTACCCAGTATGGTATTTTGTCTATGGTTCTCTGGCTGATCCTGACGTTCTATCCCGGCTACTTTCGCTCTCTGAAACCCCAGATTTGAGGCCAGCTAGCATTTCAGGAGGCGTGCTCAGAACGTGGGCTGGAAAGTACAAAGCTCTTGTTGATGCTCCAAACTCCGAAGACGCCAGTGTATATGGATGCGCTTACCGAGTTGTATCGCGTGAACATGAAGAGGGGCTTCTATACTACGAAACGGAAAGGTATGAAGTGGTGAGATGTCTCATCGAAATGCGTAATGAGACGAAAGAGATTTTCATGGGTCTGACTTTCCGATTCGCAAATCACTCCCAGGACTTATTGTGAACAGCCACATAGTCACAACGAACTCTCCAGGATTCAAGGCAGGTTCTTGCAAACCTTTACTGTAACCCAGGAGCGCATCAAATACTCTTCTCCGTATACTTGAAACCTTTTTAGTAGATGGTCTGGGTCGACATCGACCCATCAAAGCAATACTTCGTGGAGAGTTCCTAGCTGAAGAGTCGTTTTGGAAGGAATAGCAGTGATTCATCTGAAGGAAAGAAGCAGAGCTTTCAGGCCAGTTTAAAGTAATTCCGCGCGCAGTCTGATCATTTCTATGGTGCTGCTCTTCTTCAATATGCAACTTGGCTTGTTAGCTAGTGCAACTAACTGTTCAATGCATGCTCTGGGGAGATATGCTAGACGGTATGGATGGTGGGCCAGCCGTATTGCGTCGTGTCTGGGCGTTAAAGGAAGCTCCACTGGCGGAATATAAACTTTCTCCCTGGCTGAAAGGGTTCTAGATACTTACTACTAGTACTACAGTAGGAGGCATAAGGATTGTTAGCATGAGCTAGTTATAGCTAGTTAGTTTTCGATACAAGAGTCTGGCGTTCTCGGAGCTATCATGAGTCTTGACCCTCACTAATCCTGGTTATTGGCTTTGTTCTGAGAGCTATTCAGACTAGTTAATATCGTTACAGTAAAGTGCATTTGTGTTACAGAGTAAGGCTGTGTTAAATACAAAATTTCTAGCTTGAAGCTAACAATACTTATGCCTCCTACCGTAGTAGTAGTAAACTTTAACTTAGCACGAGTAGATAGATTATTACCAAGCTTATCTTGACACAAGGTGGAGGCACGTGATGAAATTAGAGCTATCTCCTCTTTTGCGCACAGCTTCCGATGTCAACCACAACATGATCGCTTCATCCTCCTGCAAATCACATTGAACGGCCGACAGCTCACCGCATCAATTGTCACAAGGCTGGCAACAGGAAGCAGGCCAACATCTCTTTTGACCACGCCCACAACGTGCATAATCACGAAAGTATCATTTTGCGCCAACAATCCTGCTTCCTCAAGCTTTGTGCGGATTCGTGCAAGACATCGGGGTTTGAAACTGGTGGTTATATTGAAGCAGTTGGAAGAGCTGTCATTGTCTTGAACGGTTATTGGCTGGCTGGACGGTGTTAGGAATTGTTGTGGTGTTCAGCTCTCTGGTCTTGTGTTTCTGTTGGTTGCGCTCCTTGATAGTCTGCGCACCTCAAATCAACCACAACACTCCAGTACCCCGCTCTTTGCTGTTGTAGATCGGGAACCAAATAGTATCGTGATTGCGTGGCTTCATCACAGTCCCGCTGTAATCTGTGGGGTACACGTTCTGTGGCTTTGAATCATGGCTGGTAAGCTGTCCGCCATATCCCTACGGCCAGCTCATACACGTTGGCATCTTTTGCTTGACTCGCTGACAAATCTTTCTCGCAGATGAACCTCGACGGTCGGGGCGCGCTACCAAAGGCCAGTACACCAAAGATAGAGACATCGACGAAGATGCACCCAAGAAGAAAGGCAAAGGCAAAGGGCCAAAGACGAAAGAGCCTGAGGTACAAGATGAAGAAGATGAGATTATACGATGCGTATGCGGTCACTACGAAGAGGAAGAAGACACGCAGAGAGATATGATCTGTTGTGACAACTGCTCCGCCTGGCAGCACAACGACTGCATGCTATTGCCCTACCCACCTGAAGAAGCTCCTGATAAGTATTTCTGTGAGATATGCAAACCTGATGATCACAAGGAGCTGCTGGCCGCAATCGCCAGAGGCGAAAAACCCTGGGAGGAAGTGGCTAGAAAGAGAGAAGCTGCTGAAGCAGAGAAAGCGGCCAAGAAGAAAAAGGGTGGAAAGAGAGGTCGGAAGGCTGGATCACGGCCTAGTGAGGTTGTGTCTGAAGCCGGTCTGGAGGTTGACACCACACAAACACCAGGAAAGGATGTTGGTAGTGGCTCGGCAGGGCAGAAGCGCAAACATGAGGAGCCAGCCAATGGCGCCGGCGCCCTTCAGGTACGTAGCTTCACATGGGAACAATCATTGAGTGATTTGACTGATCTGACCCTATCAGGATTCTAAGAAGCAACGCCAGACTTCAGCACACCCAACCCCAACCCCAACCCCAACCTCTACCCATGGGCAAAACGGGGGTCACCCTATCCAGCAGAGGCGCAAGTCCAGTGGCATACAAACCCCATCCAGACAGAGCTCCAAACCTGAAGCTTCTAATGCTCAGGCTGCATCAAAAGTCGACGAACTGCCCGCACAGAGGAAGTCAGTAGCGGCCAACCTTGTGCGCATGTTCTCATCAGAAGCTGTGAATGCTCAGAAGCAAGGAAAATTTGGCATACCAGCTGGGCAAACTGCGGACGGCTTGGGGACTCAGCTAGGCCTGGGTGTGGAACATGCTTTGTATCACATTCTCTCTAATGGATCTGGAGAACCAAATGATGCCTATAAGTCTCAAGTAAGGACAATTATGTTCAACGTAAAAAAGAACGATGCCTTGAGAGATGGCTTGCTAGATGGCAGCATAACGGGACAACATCTTGCTAGAATGAGTCCTGAGGATATGGCAAGCAGAGAACAACAGCTACGAGACGCCAAGATCAAGCAAGAACAAGAGAAGCAGCATGTCATTGTACAGGAGCAAGGACCTCGAATCCGTCGAACCCACAAAGGGGAAGAATACGTCGATGAGACTCAACAAATCGCTGCTGAACCGGATGTTATGAATGCACCAGTGCGCCGGAGGGAGAGTGGTCTGGATCAAGACATGCGTGAGATGAAAAGCCCTACGACTCCTGTTCTAGGTGGGCCCAAATCACCAGATGGCAAACCACTTTCTATCAACACACAAGTCCGTCCTCGACCGTCCACAGACCCAGAACGGAAGTCCTCACAAACTTTCAACATTCAAGACGTCTGGTCGAGTGTCCAGGGTTCTCCAGACGGCGAGAGACCTGCGTTTCCACAAATCCCATACCAGAGCGGAGGCCAGCCACAAAGGACCAACCAGACAGCAGCTGATGCAGAAATTGACGCTCTCCTCAAAGACGAAGACATCGAGTCACCACCCTACTCACCCAAATCCTACGACGGCGACAACGCAATTATCTGGCGAGGATCCGTCAACATGAGCCCCGTCGCCAGGTTCCAGGCCTCAGCCCGGAAAGCCGCCGGCGCAGACGTTGAGAACCTCGGCCTTTCCTGGCAACAACTCATCCCCAATATCCTCACCATAGAGGGCCGGATCGACCCTGCCCGAGCAGACAGCTACCTCTGCGGCCTCCGCTACAGCTCCACCTCCGACGTCATTGTCGTCTCCCTACGCGCATCCGATATTCCCAACGAGCAACATCAATTCAACGTCCTGTTCAATTACTTCAAGACCCGTAACCGTTATGGCGTCGGCGTCAACCCCAGCAACTCGGCCATCAAGGATATCTACCTCATCCCATTGGAGGCGGGGAGCGAGAAGAAACCGGAATTGCTTCAATTGCTGGATAATGATAAGATTGAGACGCCCATCCAAGAGGATATGTTGCTCGTGCCGTTTGTGATTAAAACCAGCGAACTGAATGCAAACGCGATTGCAAATGTGACGACGCCGAGGGAACATCAGCCCATCGCTGCGAGTCCTATTGCCGGTGTTGGCGTAGGAGCAGGCCTGGGTGGTGCTACAGCTCCGACACCAGCACAGGCGGCCTACCCGACTCCTACACCTCCTCCCGCAACCGCAGCAGCAGCAGCAGCAGCAGCAGCAACGCAAAATCAGCAGCAAGCCACAAACCCCGCCCATCCACTTCAATACGGCTCACCACATCCTCCTCTACCCGCACCACTCCCAAACCCCACCCCCAGCGCCGCACCCGCCATCAACCCCTCCGCACAACAAGCAGGACCAGCACCATCAGGCCACGCCGCCGCTCACCTGATCCTCGGTCCCCACGCAGCCCAGTTACCCGCCGTACAGCAACTGCTCCTCCAAGCGCCCACAGCGGGCATCCCGGAATTCAACGTCGTGAGGGATTGCCTTGCTGAGAATCCGGTCGCGGGCCAGGACTTGGCCGTGCTGAGGGACATGTTGATGGCGAGGCAGGCTCCTGCTTAGATCGGTGAAGGCCCTTAGAGGGGTGGAGTTGGGGGAAGGGAGACGGATGTGTGCTGGTGATTTAATTGATTGGGCTGGCTGGCGGACTGAATCGTGAATCGTGAATGGCGGTACCCCTACCTGCGAAGATGATTCGTGCGTCTGTCACAGCTACTGCTCGTACTACTATCATCACTGGTCACTACTAGCTTTGTCAGATGGGCGGATGCATGGATGAATGAACGGGTAGTGGATATGGGCGCTTTGGCTGCTTTGGAAAGTATCCTCTGGTGTGGTGGGTTGGCTCTGCTTTACGGTGGTAGTTACTTCCTGCCAATTGACTGGTAGCACGCTCGGCATGTGGGAATGGTGCAGTGCCATACGTACCCTGGGCACGACGAACTTTGACGTACGTATGTACATACATACAGACAGCAGTTTGCAGTTGCGATGCGCGATGTCGAGGCTGCGGGAGACGCTCGCTCGACTCGGCGTACCGTAGCGTACCGTAGCGTAGCTTAGCTTAGCTTTTGCAAAATCAAGGCAGAGTCCTTTTCTTTCCGTCCTTCTTTTCTCTTGTGACGTGGTAGTTGCCCGGGACGGTGCGGTGGACTCGGCTCGAGGAAGCACCAGGTGAGTGGCTTGTGCACCAAACAGTCTCTTGGAATGATATGGTATGCTGTAGTTATTGAAGGAAGGTGACATGAAATGATCAGCTCGAAGCATTCCCCTCCGCAGCATTGCCCTCCATCTCCCTCAAATACGCCCTCAAACCTTCCCTGCCGCTGACTCTCAAGGCCTCCTCGATTTCTCTCTCCTCATCCCTCATCACCTCCTTGCCACGCCTCAAAGCACCCATCACCTTCCGCTTCTCCTCCTGAACCATCTTCTCCCGTTCCCTCAGTGCCTTCTCCCGTTTCTCGCGCTCTTCCGCTTTCTTATCTGCTTCGGATTGATCCGAGGCGGATGGGCCGGCGGCACTGGGGTCGAGGGGAAGGGATGGAAGAGTGGAGATGTAGGCTTCGATGAGTGGGTCGCGGGTTCGAGAGGGGAGCGAGATGTAGCGGAGGTCGGTGAGGATGGTTGCGGGGAGGGTGTCTGGTGTGGAGTTTCGGTGGAGATGTTCCAGGGGTATGCTTTTCATTAGGTCTTTCAGCGCGGTCCTTCGCGTGCTTTCTGGTAGTTTGAGGCGATTGATGTGGTCTCTGTACAATTTCTCACGTTCTTTGTCCGGTAGATGGGCGTCTTTCATTGCTTCTTCTTTCCGGTATTTGCGTTTGAATTCGGGCCAATACAGCTTTGGCGTTGCGTGTTCGTGCAGCAATCGCAGATATGGGATTCGGGGGTCTTTCTTCTCTTCTTTGGCGCGCTGCTCTTTCATTTCTTGTATCCGTTCCGTGCTCCATATTGTGAAGGCTTCTTTCCGAGTGCGCATGTTGGGGAGAGCGACATATCGCTCATCGTCTATGATGTGGCCCTGTTCGAGGACCTTCTCCCAAGTAGTGTATGGATTGATGGCATGGTCGGTGAGGAGATCATAAAAGAGTGCTCGAGAGTCATCAGCAGAAAGAGGCAGCCCGGTGTCGTATTCATCATCTTCACCGTTGCCGTACTCACCAGGGTCCAGCCCGTACTCTTGACCCATCTGTGCAAGCTGGTAGGCTATGTCTTCCTCGTTAAACTCCACCGGGCCAGATGGTTCTGATTGATGATTGGAATTGGTGCGCTGTTTCTTTGTTGGTCCTTCGATGGCATCAGGCTGTTCTAGATCAATGTTTTCATCATCCGTGACTTCAACATCTTCGTAGGAATCGCTGTCATCTGCTTCACGCTTATCTCCTTCGTTGTCCCGTTGGAGGGGAGGTAGGCGTGGTCTTGGCTCAGCTGTAGCTACTGCTTTAGGACCTTCTCCTTCGACGCTCAGTTTCTCTTCTTGCTCCTTCCGATCCATCTCAAACGTCGCCAGGAGGACATCTTGAGGGAATTTCCAGAAACTTTCGTTCTTCTCCGGGTTGTGAACGAATCGTCTTCCCAGCTTTGTGGTCACAAGAATCCATGGCTCACATCCTGGTATAGTCTTCTTCTTCTTAGGCCGATCCTGTTGATGTTGACGGCGAGAACGGTCTTGATATGACAAGCCACCTCGGAAGCTTCCCCCATACTCAGACCTCTGAGGTGGTTCGAAACTGCCAGCAGTCTGGCCGGGAATTTGACCATGCAGAGTCGGCGTCGCGGTATGGTCTATGAAGAAAGGAGTTGCGGAAGGTGCTGCAGGCCGAGTGTAAGTAGACTGCTTAGTCTCTGCATTGTAGTAATAGCTGTGTCCTGTTGGAGCTTTATGCTCAGTCCAGCCTGGAGGGAGGGCGGGCTCATTGGAGTTTGCCGGACCTGCTGCTCTATGAGTAGACTTAAGCATTTGAAATTTGAAGCCTGGATGTAACAGCAGCAGTGCTGATACAAGTGAAGTATCCTTCCACTGGGCATCAGCAAAATATTTACTCTCTGCGGAGAGTTTGACTGCGGGTGTTCCACTCCTCCGATTGGTCCAAGTTTTTCGAGCAACGCGTGAAGCGATGCCTACTTACTCACCTTGGCTACATAGCTCATCCATCCGCATCTCTTCCCCTACGATGCCATTGAACCCCTAACTTCCACGACTGAACCTCAGAGAACTGCTTCCACTCCGTGAACATTCCAAGCACAATGTCGCGAAGATACGACTCTCGAGTTTGTCATTCTGTCGCTCCGGAGCCAGGGTGTTGCTAATCCATCATCAGACCACAATCTTCTCTCCAGAAGGACGGTTATATCAAGTCGAGTATGCTCTAGAAGCTATATCACATGCTGGGACAGCTCTTGGAATATTGGCACAAGATGGGATAGTCCTTGCAGCCGAACGGAAGGTTACTAGCAAGCTACTCGAGCAAGATACATCGGCTGAGAAGCTTTACATCCTCAATGAGTAAGACTCCAAATCACTCGTCCGGTTCGTCGCCTCTTCCTGACTTCGTTACCTAGCAACATGATCTGCGCAGTTGCTGGAATGACTGCTGACGCCAACATCTTAATCAATTACGCCCGTCAAGCCGCGCAAAGATATCTCCTTACCTACAACGAGGACATCCCCTGCGAGCAACTAGTTCGCCGCCTATGCGATCTAAAGCAAAGCTACACTCAGCATGGAGGTCTTAGGCCATTCGGCGTGTCGTTCATCTATGCTGGTTGGGACCCACAAAGACAGTTTCAGCTATACCAAAGTAATCCCAGTGGTAACTATGGAGGTTGGAAGGCGACCAGTGTCGGCGCAAACAATGCCAGTGCCCAAAGTCTATTAAAACAGGATTACAAGGAAGACTGCGATTTGAAAGAGGCTTGCGGGATGGCGGTGAAAGTGCTCAGCAAGACCATGGATTCCACCAAATTGAGCAGCGAGAAGAGTACGTATTCTCTACGCAGCTGTGGAGCTCGCCTTGGGCCATGTACCATGTTGCTGACATTTGATTCTCCAGTCGAGTTTGCAACGGTTGGAAAAACAAAAGATGGGGTCATCTATCACCACTTGTGGTCGGGTGATGAGATCATGGCACTTCTCAAGGAACACGGCCTGGCGAAAGAAGAGGAACAAGAAACGGGCTGAGCTTGCTGGGGAGGATTTCCAGCTTTCACAGATAAGTTCTCGACCTCCTGCATCGTGTCAAGATCCGAGCATGATGGTGTTTGGAGGCATTCAGCATGGCATCATGGCATATACCACGGTCGACCGTACGAAGATCGTCTGAAGATCGTCTGAAGCACATCGGACACCGTGAAAGTGAAAGCGTGCTCATCATCAGTGCCTGTGACAGTGTTGCCAAATAGGGGTAAGCGATTGGTCGTCAATGCTCAGATCTGCGCCTATGCAGCGTTCCCTTCTTCACGGCCCGGCTCGTCCCGCCTAAGGTCAACCTCATCTTATCTCGTTTTCTGTCTCCCCCTCGATAGCCCTCATTCCCTTCATCGCAGCATGGAAGATGCATCCTCTATCTACGATGTTCTTTTTGAACTAGCACTCAACACCTTCTCCACGTCATGCTCATGCGAGGCCCTGCATTAGCGTTAATGTTGTTTTTTCTAGTTACAGAAAGAGATGAGGGGCATCGTCAGTTGCCGACTGACTGCATCAACTTCACTCCTCCAATCCATGTTCAACGTGTTCACTGATATATCCTGATATTTGAATTCGATTTGCCACACACTGGCTCTAAGAAAGGCTACACTAGCAATCTGCTGGTTGAAACTTTTTGGAACTGACTACCACCAGCCTAGTCACCCTTTAGGGAATGCTACCTCAAGCACAGCCATTCATAGCCACCTGCCCAGAGAACCAAGAAATACCTTCTTAGCAGCCTGCCGGTCGTTGAATCTCAAAGCCGTCTCGAGACAGAAGTTCGCTTGTTATTCAGCTCTACCAGTTGGCGGTTAAGCAAGACCAGGTCGTCTTGTGCTTTCTCAATATTGGCTCGCCATTTCCTCGCGTCATCTTGCTGCCAGCGTTTGATGTCGCTTTCTGCTTTCTCAATGCGACGCTTCTTTGGCTGCATTTCTTTGCAGTATCGGCACTGCTCTTGTAGTCGATATATGTACCCATCAAGTGGCCTCGGGGCCATCCCGCACGTCTCACCCATCCGATATTCAAGCTCGCACCTCAATTTCATGTTTCCCCATTTGTGATCGCCGCAGGAGAAATCATAACGCTCATAGTAACACATATTCTTAATTCGTCAGTCCATATCGAATGCAGATGGCAATTGGAACCTGCCGGTGAGGATTTCAGGTTGAAGTTTACTTTTTTTTTCTCTCACGAAGCTACAAGGGCTGTGTAAGTCTCCCTTGTATCCTGTATAGTTTGCGGATGGTGAACAATCTTACCAAGGTTGGAGAGATGCGAGACGTGGAAGATATGGACTGATTCTCAACCAGCGCAATTTGCTGCTAGTCTTGATGCTTTGTTGACGAAGTGGTGCAAGAATATCAGCACTTTTCTCAGGATATTGCGCACTATTTATCTCCCAATCGAGCCAGCCAGGCGTGCTCAGAGTGACGGAGACGCATTCTTCTACAGACCCTCAACAACCCGTCTCGGACACACCTCATGCCTTGCCAACTTCGAATATCGAGTCAACTTCCAATAGTATTCAAGCCGACGACTTCAGTCGACGTGGCTAGCTTCACACACGAGCTCCATTGCAATCGTTCGATCAAGTTCGGGAATCCAAACGTCTGCAAGCTGCATCCAACATCATTGCATCCACGCACCAGCTGCAACAAGGAAGGAGAGCGATATCATGCGAGGCAGGGTTCAGCACCCGAACATACCTTATTTGTCGACAATTCATCCTCAGTCAGTTTCCCTCTGCCTCATCACAGAAAGATTGCACCGCGACTGGCTTCTTTGCCCTTGCTCGAATTGCTTAAGAGAACTATAGCCGGAAATACAATTCTGTCTTCAGCACTCCGCCCAAGACTTGCAACACCCATGAGCACTTTTCTGCGCCAAGTTGCCTACCTGAAAAATCCTGGTTCGGACAGCATGCTCCGCCTTCGCCACGGTGGAGAGATGCAAGCTAAGCTATTGTGCAAAACAGTCTTCTCCACGAAGATTCCCCACAACCAGTGTTGCTACTGGCAGGCCCCTAATGGCCCCCAATTGCATTTGTCCGGTCGATCTTCCGCATTTCGTACACCCAGGCTTATCAAATGCAGGAACATGATATAAGCACTAGGCCAGGAATTGTGCTAGCGCCAACTGCTCGATGTCACGGATTCCGTTCCCTACCGGCAGAGCCGCAGCCATCCCCCAGTGGGGGCTATCGCTTGACCATGTGGTCTTCTGTTTCACTGCATCACCATGACAGGCTCCTGGCCGCTGTGAATGGCCATAACAATTCTCGGGCCATTTGGAACCAACATGGAGCGTGGGCGTTGGGTTCCTGGCATGATGTGGCCTAGCCCTCTCATCCCTGACCTCCTCTAGCCACGTCTCAGGTGATCGACCCTTCATGTCTCCTCGGAATGGGAAGCACGCATCACCTCTCGGACGACGGCGCTAGATTGAAAATAAACTTGCGACGTGGCAGACCATGTGTGGACGCTGGCAGACATCTTGATGAAGTCGCTTCCACGCTTGCAAGAACTCTGGGTGGTCGTTCTCGGGATTTCCTCCGTCACAGCTCTGGTGTCATCACTCAGATGAATCATTTGAGACATCTGCATCGTCCGACTGCCATAACCTTCCTCTAGAGTCAACCCGGATGCTTTTCGGCACCTTGGCAGGTTGTCATCTCCTCATCCACTTTCAGCATGTGATGACTTGGTTCTGTTGGACAGCTCCTCGGGCAACACGGATTGTGATGATGTTGTAGCTCCATCCCCGGGAGATCTTCGTTTCTCCCCATGACGAGCTGCATATCGACTGTCTGACATGGCTTGCATTGGTTCGAATGTTTGATCCCCTGCCTGTACCGTCCTACCCTCTCAATCCCGGTATGATGCCAATACAACATCCGAACCTACCCAGCATGCTCGATACAATCTCGATATTGTCGACGTCTTCATTGTTATGCATTCTCTTAACATTAGACTAGTGGAATTGGGCATCACCGCCGTTCTAAGGTGCGTCGATAAAGCCGTTTCTTTTTATATCTGCTGAACGCCGAGATCCCTGTTGACGCCCAAAGGAAGTCAGGAAAACGACCGGGACGGCCAAGGATGGGGTGGTCACAATAAGGGAATGCTGGATCGATGCTTGATAGCGTTCACGCGTCATATACTAAACACAGAACAGTTGGAGTTCTGTAGCCTTGACGTTGAGGTTCAGGCACGTGCTTATAGTGTGCCGCATAGCTCCGTGCCAATGGACCCTTTCCGTTCTCTCGAGCGAGCATATCCGCATATCGAGTTTCGAGCCGCATCACGGGAGTAGCAAGTGACCCAAGACCGAACTACGGGCAAGCTATCTTCTAATATCCATCATGATTGGGCATTGAGATGTGATCGTCATAGGTCAGAGCTATTGCCTCTAGTGATGCATGGTAATTTGGCAGATGGTCTGACAAAGTTGCGGCCCCAGCCAAGTTGGTAGTTCACCCAGCTTGCAAATCGGGGGGCTTTTACTTTGCATCCGTCAGGCTGCGTTACGGTCATCTTGCCTCTCTTACTGGCTGTCCTCCTGTCGTTCACATCCCGCAATTTGGCAGCAGCCCCATTGCGGACCACGTTTGGTGGCCCAACCGTCGTCTTGCATGTTTAATTACCGACGCCTACGTAGTACTTTTTCTTGATGAATGAGCTTTTTTCCTATTCCAGAACCTGGCTAACCTGTTTAATATACTCTGAATAAAGCTTTTTCACATTTACGAGCTCTTGCCAGGCCCAACTCTTTCGACTTATCAGCTCGGCTACGTTCCCCTGGAAACCAAAGTCAATGCCATGGATCATTAACCGAGCTTCCTTGTGTGTGCGCCCAAGTGCGGAGCTGCACCCCTACGGAGGGCAGTTGGGTCTATCTAAACTGCTGATGTATCTTCATACCTGGCCGTTGCCTTCTTGCCACCGGGCAACCGAGAAAACCAGCAAGGGTGAGACGGGTGTTTTTTATTGGATGCCTGAGGCAGCGCTGTGCAATATCTCACGCATCTATACTCGGAGCCTTGCGAAACAGCTCTACTCACAGAAGGTGGTCATTCTTTCCACAAATTGGTGTGGTTGGGTCTCCTGGTTGACTGCCTTTGAGCTCTTGAAGAAAAGATACGGTAGCTCGTCCAACATGAAAAGGATACATGCTATTTCACTGCACCTTTTCGACACCATCTACCAAAGATGCCGAATGGACGACGCACTCGTCCCAGCAACCTTGCTGAGACCGCACAGAATCCATCTTGATATCATGCTCGCCAAGCTATGCGCCAGAGCCAATACTAGCTGGCGTACAGTCACGTCAGCCAGTGACAAACATAAATCTTGCCTGGTGGAATATGGAGACAGTGAGTGGTAGCTCCTCTTTCTTTACGGAAGTTTCATTCATGAAAGCCACCTCACCAGCAGGTGGATCTCATCCTAGGCCATCATCGAAGAACCGCTCGCCAACTTTATGGACACAGAAACGCAAACCGGCGCGGGCCTGTTCTATATGGGGGTTTCCTACGTTCCATGCTGGCGCCGAAATGCAATCGCATTATGGCTCTGTGCGCAGGTTCACCACCAGAAAATTATCAATGCCTAGTTATCTAGGACCTACAGCAGAATACTATAATTTCACTACACCTTTTCCACCTCGAGTATACTACCGATGTTGTATTCGGCTAAGAAAAGACGGAGCTTCTTACACTACGGGTCATAACTTTCATCAAGGCTCGAGACGCTACTGATTGCGCTCCAGAGAGAGCTCTCAACCGCGAGGTGGGTACTCCTAGAACGGTCTGAAGTCTTAGCAAAAAGCCGCAGCCACAGCCAGCAATTTTCCTATTCTGACCACGCCACTGGAGGATATGTCGGTAGTGAGTATGTATACTCGAGCTTTGCGATCTTCACTAACTATCTCGCGACTCTACTGCCCGTTCTGTACTGGGAAACCCAAGCAGAGGATTTACCAACCAATCATACGCTTATTACCCCTCATGCCGCCGACCCGAACGACCAGCATTGGTTGTACTATATGCAGCTCTGTTGCTCCTATCGCAGCATCATGGGGTATGCTGGGGAAAGAAGCTGGAGAAGAGCTCACTGCAGACCAATATCAGGAGTATAGATGGTCAGAACGACATCGGATTCAATGGTCCATATACCTAGCTACATATTCAAGGGTATCTCCTACAGTAGCATGTAATACAGCAATATATTAAGTTTCCATGTTCAATACCGCATCCATCAACCATTCTTCACTACCGACTCCATATTTTAGCAACATCATCAGTGAAGTCATGTGTATCAGGAAAGAATCTCAGTGCTGCGCCCAATGACTTTGCCGTATAGACTGCTGCTACTTGAAATTCTTCCAAAAATAAGGCACCGTCCTTTAGGAAAGCACATATGGATATCCTGGACGCCGCGAGCTGGGTTGAATGCACCATATTTAAATTTGGTGACAATGCAAGTTTGTCCGAAGCAAACCACTCTCCGTCTGTGTTAATAAGCAGGCTCTCATACATCTTGATGTAGCGAAGGCCAGGTAGTGCGAGCACAGTCTCTAGAAGCCTCATCATTATGCTATGGAAGCATATCTGCAGCTGTTACTGCAAGGGGTAGAATGTTAGGCAGTTGTTGACCCAATCCAGAGCCGTCCAGGCATTCAAATATCGGTGATGCACAGCAGAATGTACCTTGGTAAGCATAGATCTTTCGCTACGTTAGAAACGTGCCTTTGAAGCTTCGTTTAGTTTCTTCATCACCCCTTTTCATGGTTCTGCAACTTCAGCTGTGGCAGTAAGTTATCTCGGAGCCACAATCAGTGAAGTGTGTGGTGGCGGTGCAGCAGTAGATGATTGTGCGGCTCAAGATTGTCCGCCATGATAAATACATTTTTCCACTCTCGAACGTTTTCGAGCGTGCATACAGGATAGAGGGATAGGATCGGCATTGCTGTGTTGATTACTCTTCATAATTTCGATCAGCAACAGCAAGAGACGCTAGAGCAGCTGATCAGCCATCTAGATGCTTCGAAGGATGAAATGCCCACAAGTCAGCCCTGGCATGTATGTTAAAGACCACCAAAGGAGCACCAACATCAGCCCTGGAGTTAGTTAGACTTGCGTGGTTATGCCGCGTCTTCAGCTGCCCCGTGACTAGGAAGCATTGTAATGTATTACGAAGTAACTGTGGCTGAAGAAAATGATAAAAATGATTTCATGGCTAACTAACTAGTTACATCATTTCCCTGGCAATCGTCCCCAATTTTCCCATTCTAAGACACATGTAGCTATTTTTTTACTCCCCTCCCTGAAACACACGACATATATCAAATTCCACACCACCAACGCCCATCTTTACCCTTACATCCATCACCACACATCTCACTAACCAGCGCCCACCAGATCATCCATCGTTACCTCCGATAGACAAAAGTGCAGGGTGAGCTCAGCCCCCCGTGTATATGTAAAAGGACTTCGCATTGAGAAAACTCCCTCCAAGCGCCACCACAACCACAACCACAACCACAACCACAACCAGCCAACCGCTCAACTAGCTACGACAAAAAGATGGTTCTCACGTCCCTGACACCGACGTCGAGCACGAGCTCTCTTCAACCCGCGCAAAAGCCTCGCGTCAAGGGCGCCGCAATGCCCTGTGTCGATTGCGGCGACTGTTCATGCTGCTGCATCCCCATCCCCTGCACTGTCATGTGACTGATGGACCTGGCTGTTTTTTTTTTTCGAAGACCGACTCTGGAAGGGCCTAACTAGGGCCGGAGGATGGGGTTGCCGGGCGCCAGATGGGGGCGGTCTTTTGGGGGACGGGGGGTCAAAGCTTCTGGGTTTTGGGTTGTTCATTGGTGCTCGAGATCCAGGCTGGTGAGTGTCGCTGTCATGCTGTGATCTGGACTTGGGACGATGGGGAACGAAAAGAGCGGGTGGGTTTTCCATGATCGGGAGCAATTCTGAGCACAATTCTTGAGATTTACGTTAATATCAAAGTCTGCACTGGTTTGAACAGCGGAAAAAGGATCAATGGTCTTGATAGAATCTTTCCTGTTGAAACCTGCTAGAGAGCCGTCAGCGCGCCCCTTCTATCTCGATAACTGCCCGGCTTCACTACACAACACCCGAGAGTCAGGAGCTGACACGTCATTTACTCAAAGCATACACACGCCCTATCAAAACACTACTACGTATTTAGTGGGCTGTGAAGCTTCCCCAACCAAGAGGGAAAGATTCTCATCCCTTCACAAAGCCGAATCGACACCCTAAGAAACCGCATCGAACAGCGCCCCCCTCTTCGCAAACAAAAAGCCAGCCACGCCCCGGCTCCTTAAGCTTACCCGGTACATGATCGCCTGTTCCGCTGCTGCTGCGATTTCTTATTTCTGTCTCCTCTTCTCTCTCTCTCTCACACACACAAACTCTTTTGAACCCCCCAGGGCGCTTCCCCACACAAGCTACATCAGCTTCCATATTCACCTGATCCCATTCGAGCCAGCTTCACAATCTCCAGTAAGTAACTAGCTCCCTATCAACCCCATCCCGCCATGCGAGCCAGAGCCAGAACCGCAGCCTCGACCAATCGCACCTTCCGAAAGTGCCAGTCAGTTAGCAGGAGTTTTTTTGCAGGCAGAAAAAATACCGTCGTAAGTAGGGAGCGGGAAAAGCGCCTTTTTTTTTAAAAAAAAAAAACCTGTCGGAAATCTCTCGTTCGTTCGTTCGTTGTTGGAACTGTCGGGATGGCTTGGCCAGCCGGAGCCTGCTGAGATGGGTTTGAACCTCTCTTGGGAATGAGATGGGAAGAGATGATATGAGAAAAATAATCGTTAGTTAATGCAAAAAACCTTACTGTAGAATGACACCATGACTGGAACAGTTATTGATATGGGATACTGCGACGAAGATTTTTCTTGCAGCACGGCGTCATGATCATGGTAGCGTAAATAATCGAGAAGAACGTGTTGGGACCGAAAGGGACCGCGGCGGGCCGCTCTGGGAGGATGGTAAAACTAGTCAGCTTGAATATGTCAATAGATACTTACTGTACTTAGAACGCAGCCGAGAGCACTCTCAAGCTCAGGGGGGCATGAAAGCATAGAAATAGCGATAAATACGTCCAAGCGCTCTGGCAACTAACTATACTTGACTCGACCCCTTCCATGATTTCACCTCGCAGTGAACGAGCACGTCGTAGAAACCTCGATCCGGTCTCTTTCTCTCTTAAACACCACGAGTGAGTGTGCTCCGTCACTATTCATCCCGTTCCACACTTGGCGGCTCCATGCAAAAATCCAATCCTATCCAATCCAATCCACCCCACAAGATCCCAGCCCCCTTCTCTGTGCCCAAGTCGATTGCGGTTCGGATTGGGCGACCAATCCGAGCAGGCTGGTTCGAAGGTCGCGCAGACACACGAGAAGGTCTCACGTTTCGATGCAGAAATGTTGGGGAAGGTTCTAATGTCAAGACTCGTTAGATGCGCAGGAGTTTCTTCCCGGGCCGGGTGTTTCGCTGTTTGAGCCGTGCCTGGAGGATCTCGAGGGGGAAATGGGTGCATTGTGCTAGGCACAGACTTCAGACTGGAGCCGGAGTCGGAGTTAGAGTCAGAGTCAAAGTCAGAGTCAGAGTTAGAGCCAGAGTTAGAGCCAGAGTTAGAGCCAGAGTTAGAGCCAGAAGCGGAAACGGAAACGGAAGCAGAAGCAGAAGCAGAAGCAGAAGCAGAAGCAGAAGCAGAAGCAGAAGCAGACGGCATGGGCAAGGCTGAAGGTAATGCTGTCAATTGGCCTCTGGATTTTTGTAATGGCAAGAAGGACTCAATTGCATCAAGGCAGCGCTTCTTTCCAACCTATTAACGGACAAAAAGCGGTTTGGTATCGAGGGGGATACGAATCGCCCTTGAAGGCACCTTTGGTTCGTGTGAGATGCATTGCTGGAGGGGGGGCTTTAGAATTCGCACCATTTTACGAGTACTGTACTTACTACTCTGTACGTAGCTGAAAATTCGCCGTTTGAGCAGTTAGGCAATTTTACCTTGCAACTCTGGGTAGATACTAACCCCCAAAGCGGCTCAGCGATCATTGTACCCGAGCAAACCCCTCTCCAACCCCATATCAGCCACCGCCCATACCCACGCTCTGCCGGCCTCGCCCGTCCAGAGGCCCTCGGGGTGACTACTCGGCTCCATGACGCCGGCCTCGATCAGCGGGCCCATCCTCTCCTCCGTCGCATGAGCCAAGAAGGCGTCCAGATCCCCCTCCGCCAACGCCAGCGCGTTCCCCGACACGCCATGACACAGACCCGACCCGATACCCATCCCTGCTCCAGCTCCATGGACATCCTGGTTGGCGAGCAAAGGGTCTTTGTATTCGTGAGCCCTTGGCAACCGCCTCGCCAATCCGCGTCTCCAGACTGGGAAAATACTTCCCGATGCCCAACAGCGACACGACCACGCCCGGCGCGCCATGACACACCTGCACGAGCCGATCCCTCCGTCCGGCCGGCAACGAGGAGGGCCAGTTCCCGCTGTCCTCGTTCTGGATCCGCAGCAGCGAGTCGAGGAGCTGCTCCAGCCTTGCCGCGCAGGCAGGGTCGCTCAGCACGATCTGGGTGATGATCCCGATGGTCCCGTGCACGGCGCCGAGGTAGACCTTGCCGTGCCAGGACCAGGGTTGCGGTGAGTTGAGGATGGCCGCGATGACGGCCTGGGCGGTGTGTTGGATGCGGTCGAGCATCTCGAGGTCGTTATTGGGGGCGAAGCCGGACTTGGCCAGGCGGAGCAGGTACAGATACCCGGCCCGGCCGTAGAGCCATTCGTCGCTGACACCGGGCGTGAGGGCAACGGTGGCGAGGTTGCAGAGCTTGTCTGCAGCCCGTTTGTCCGAGTAGGCGCCGGCCTGCAGGGCGAGGGTGGAGAGCAGATCTTCCATCACGCCGCAGTGGTTGGAGGTCTCTATGTAGTATTTGACGCTCTGGCATTCCTTTTCAACTTCTTCAACTCTTGTCATGGCTGGCCGCGCTTGTCGTCGGCGTAGTGTTTCGAGAGGGCGAAGAAGAGGAGGGCGATGGATGCGGGACCGTAGTAGAATCCGCCGTGGGGTTGGAGGGAATCTGGAGGGAAGTTTTGAACGAGTCGCTCTAAAGAGGCGATGAGCTGCTCTTTGGGAGAGGGGGGAGAGGGGGGTGGATCGCTAGAGAGATCTCTTGCGGAGGAAGACATGGCGTGGCTGAAGAGAGAAATGCTTGTGCAATCAATAGTCAACAGTCAACAATCAAAAATCAAAATCAAAATCAAATATCAAATGCTGTGGACTGAGGAATAGATCCTAGGTCTCTCTTAACTGAGGTAATGATAGCGCTGGGAGGTAGCAGCACCTCCTGCATACCCCGTCGTAGAAGAGAAGAAACCATTCACCATGCGCAATTCCGTGAAGGCATCGACTGGAATCCCATTCTCCAATGGCACATACGGAGGACAGACGTGAACGCCGGTTTGGCATTATTATTTCAAGCTGACATCAAGGCAACGAAACGAAGTGTAGAAAGTGACATCTGAATGACGATGTTGCGGCCAGGGAACAGGCTTGGCAGGATTTCACACCCCTTGTTGGGCCTCTTACAATGTGTCCCAATATGTCGAGTTTCTGCGCTGACGCTGACACGCAAGTGAAGCAGAATGCTTGCATTGGGTACCTAATTAATCAATAAATGTAGACACTAAGACTTATGAGTATCGAAGAACAGCGCCTGCAGAGTACAGGCCAAGTACCAGCCACATAGCACTGCTAGCTCCATGCTTCAAGTATGCCTCATTACACCCATTACACCCATTACACCTATTGCACCCATTACAGCTCCTCCTCCGCGCTCGGCTCTGTCCCGCCCTGCCTCTGCTCGCCCATAAACGTCTCATAAACTTGGATCAGCTGTCGCAGCACGGCATTCCGACCCATCTCATGATGAAGGGCATTTTCTCCTGCAGATCGGTCAAACACCGTCCTGATACCCTGAGCTGCGAATCCCATCGCCATCGGTAATTGTTGCCCTCGGTGACAAAATTCTTGAAGAGTACGGAGCACCGTCTCGAGTCTTTCCAAGGCAGCCTCAGGGTCGATGAGAGCAGCCATGTTGTATGGAAGATCCATCAGCAGGCCCCAGACATATTCTGCAAATTTGTGAAACATGTATTCGATCCGACGAAGGCCCTCTTCGATTAGAGGTTCGGATTTGATGTCGATCACGGCGGCGGCGGCGACAACGTCTTTCCACTGGTTCTTGTATAGTTCCGAGCACCCCCGGAGGACACGGTATCCTTCATTGTACACAACGGGCCAAGCAGCGTCGATCTTCGGGCTACAGTGGTCACCAGGATTCAGTGGCCAATTACCATGGGCTGGTATCTCCTCGCCGGTGAAAGGATTTGGGTTAAACGGATTCTTGCTGCCGATGGGTATCGGTTTCTTCCCCCAGGGCATGTACGAATCGTCTTTGGGTATCCTGCCAAAGATACTCCACGGTGGTTGCCGCCCTGATGGTTTGTATTGAGGCAGCATGTAGATGTCTTCCCGTGGCTTGGGAGCCTGCGGAGGCTTTGCTTGATTCCACCTCGGCTGGGGATACTCGTTAAAGTTGGGACCACTTTTCTCAGCACCTGGGTTGCTCTCTTGAGCATGTGGATTGTTCTGCTGAGCGCGCGCACGATCGCGCTCCCAATGTCGCTGATCTCTAGCCCTGTTTTCCGCATCTCGCTCTGCTGCTTCCCGCGCGGCAGACGCCGCGGCGGCACGAGCGATGCCGCTTTTGAGAAAGTTGTCTATCTCATGAAGCTGACGATCGAATTTAGCCTTCTTGTTGTTGTCGCTCAGAATTTCTTCTGCATTTTTCAGCGAACGGAAGATTCTCGGCGCATCCTCGTCTTTGTTCTTGTCAGGATGGAAGAGTAGCGATAGCTTCTTGAATCGTAGTCGGATTTGTGCCTTGGTCGCGTCCCGAGGGAGATGGAGGATGTCGTAGTAATTTGTAAAAGAGGTCGTCGAGACTTGAGGAGCCATCAGGGCTGCTTGGTAAACTCGGAAGAACAAATGAATGATTTTCAAGGAGAGGATGTTTCTCAGATTTAAGGAATGTACACACAAAGTCCCCCATCATTTTCTGGAATGTCATCAACAATTTGAAACGGAATTCACTCCACGTGAACTAGAGAAGTGTTCTCCTTCTACTCGCAAGCTTTGAATATTGTTCGACCGCTGGGCTCTCAGCTACCTCAAAATCCTCCATGGCCCGCAAACTCGATCGGGACTTTCTTTGCCGAACCCTCTGAAATGCATCCATACGATCATCGTCTCGGAATTTAACATAGAAGTGCGGATGGCCTGTTCTACCTCCTCCATGTTTCTGCATGTCTACCTCCCACTTCTTGCGGAGCATATCACCTTCAGGTCCTGCTCCGCATGCACCCGAAAGGCTTCGTGAGGGTGGGGAGTTGATGGCAATAGCGAAAAGATTCTGAGGCTCGGTGTAATCGGTGACTTGACCTTCAGTACGGAGTGTCCAGATCAGATATGCCAAGCAGAGACAATTTGCAACAAACACTGTCACTAGCACCACATAGAAACTCTTTTGCCACAGCTCGGAGGATCCAGAAGCGTAGTCGACGTACTCCAACGAAGCGTTGAAAGCCTGATACTCCGGACTTTTCCAGAGAGTCGATGTTTCTGAATAGTTCCAGTAATGGATAAATGGTGACGACTCGGAGGCTAGCATAAGGGTACATCCCGCCAGCACTCCCAGAGCTTCACCGATCGAAGGTAATGTGGGACTTAGTGAAGCTGCACCGCTTTGATTGTTCCATTCTGGAATGAACTGTGTCAATAGCCGAGCATTGGAAGCAGCACCATCGGATATTCCGTGTCCCAGGGCTAAGGCATTCAACCATTCCGAGGCAACATTCTTCCAATCAGGAGCCCAATTTCCCGAAGTAGCATCGGGCTGGGACTTCTGATAGGGCAACGAGTTTTTTGCATCGTCTTGACCACAATGAACAGTCAACTGACCACCAGCTATTGACGCTTGGTATTGAGTCGTACAGCCAGGATACTGCATTGCCTTAAGGGAGCAAAAGAGATAACGGCTTGTCTGAAGCTCGGGTGGGGAGGCAGCCAAAAGGTAAACCGAGTGCGACGGCCATAATCCTGTCCCATTGACGATGGTATTGTATGGAAGCGGCAATTTGGGGAAAATCGGAGCTCGTTGTCGTGCTTCGCCCATTTCGGGTCCAAAACCGAAGAGGTCGTCGATGGCAGTCGCATTGGGATAATCTGGTGGGTGAATCATGTCACTAGGTGTCTGGCTGGTCCATGTACTGGCATTAAATGTACCATTGTTGGTAGGCCATGTGACGTAAATCAGGCTCTTGACATCATCTTCCGTGACACCAGCACAGAGGATGTTGACAGCAGGGGCTGGTACCGACGCTCTGATAGTATATTGACCGTTGCCCTGGTCGTTGCCCTGGTCGTTGCCCTGGTTCAGGTCTTGAGGTTGCATGATGTCATTGATTCTGTCCCGCGCCGCACGGTAAACATTGGCATGAGGCATTGCCATTGTCACGTTCTGCACGAGTCTCGAGGTCGAATCAGCAGTGATGTTCTCATTACTTGGGGTAATCCATTGGCCTTGCACTCTGGTGTTCTCGTACATCACGCCAACCGGGGGTGGCCTTCCTGCATACTCGACGCTGCTCGCGTTTCCGCTATCCACGCGACGGGCCCAGTCGTCCAAATAAATCTGGTAATTGTGGAAGGCTTGACCAGCGTGTTCAATTTGAAGGCAGGTTGTTCCTTTATCTTTATCGACGTTGACATCGATAGGTGTCGGACATTTGCCGGCCAGGTAGGTGGAGTTGGCGAAAGAGGCCGACACTTTGCCGTATAGGACCTTGTTCTCAAACGGACCAAGTCGAAGTTTGGGAGCAACTAAGGCTTCGGCGGCTGTAGTGTAAAACATGGCAACAATAGCAGCAATCAAAGCCGCCATGCCAATGAAGCTCAATGCAGTATATCGTACTGCTTCCCAATGGGTGATAAGAGTGCCTGGCTGCATGATCCATCCCCTCACTGTACGAAGTTTTGTTAGCAATGCACCCGTCTCGTGAAGGGACTGTCCGAGACATACACATCATCTCCGCAATACTAATACCACCGCCCTTGGACTTGGCTAAAAACGCTCGACGGCTCAGGACTTGACCAAGAAAAGCCACAAAGACCGTAACGAAGGAAAGCTCGACGGTTTTGGCAAAGGCTGCGCTCAGGAGGGATGCGGTTGAAATAGTCATGTGGCCATTTGTGCCGATATTCTTTCCCCATCGTGGCTCGATCAGGGCAATCACCAGGAAGATAGCAGAAAACACTGTTGAATAAGCTGCCAGCAGGATCAAGGTGACCGAGAGCCATGACCATCGGCCTTTGATGATCGCGCGGTCCGTCTGACAATCGAATTGGGGCAGCCCGGACTCGAAGGCTTGGGGGGAATTATATGGACTCAATAACTCTCGGTCCGAAGACGAAATATTTGGAAGGTACGGCGACGAGTTAAGCGAACCTTGGTCCCCTGAAACATCCCAGGCAACACTTCTCATGCTCTGTCTGGTGTCTTTCCTGCTAAGTTGTGCTCTGGGAAAACCAGGACTTGACATAGCTGGTGATAATCCACTTTGAGTGGCATTGCTGCTGTCCGTTGGCATACTTGCCACTGGACTGTACTCGCTTTTCCCATAGCCAGCGAGAATACCCAGTCCCTTGTTGGTAAGCCTTGTGTCGTTCCCAACTCCATCTCTGCCAATATCAACGTCATGAAGTTGTATGTTGGAATCGGGAGAGGACATTTGTCTTCGGAAGGGGTTTCGAGAATGCAAAGTAGAATCAGGTCCAGGATGAGTCAAGTCCGAGCGATCTGCGGGATCTGGAGATGAAGCATCGTCGGCAGATGCTTTCTGATAAGCCATCGGAGACTGTAGATGGCGAGCATTGATGTGTCTTCGGGGTCAATTGCAGATGTGTTCGCCTGTACGGAGTAATTTGCGCCTGTGCAACCCAGACCTGAGGAAAACAGCTCGGCTTAAGAGGTAATGAGAAGGAAGGATACGTAAGAGATGGAAATCATGGTGACTTATGCGCAAGAATGAGGCTCCGAGACGTAGAAGCAGACTAAGTTGAGACTAAGTTGGAAAAGTGAAAATTGATAGAGGTAAAGTAGTGAAACAACAGCTGCTTCCTGCGACCAAAGAGCCAAACAGGTTCAGAATGGCAGAGCAGAGGTGTACGCAAGCTCGGAGTAACAGCAATCGTACCTGGGCGAGAATTGAATGGTGGGGGCAGATATATGCGGCGTAGGAGAAAGACTTTGGAGGATGCTATGTGGCCGGCCAGATGCCGGCATTGGACAAATCCACCCACGTAATAGCATCATCATCCTCCCACCAGGAATCCTCAATCTTTTTTTGGCTACAGATCCTTTGTGGTTGCCACCGAATATCCAGCAGCTGCCAGTGGTTACATTAGACTTCTATGAAGATTTGATCTGACACCCAGACTAAAGCCGAGGAAGAGGCGCTTATGTATGTATGTCCGGGAATGTTCAGGGTTTGTGCTTGCTGGACTAAAGGACTGCGGCCCCCAGAGGGCCGTGAATTAGCTTATGGCTGACAGTACTCCCAACGTGCATGAGAATACTCGCTGCTCGTTCAGAGAGGTGTTCACAGAGGTGTTCACAATTTGTAATTCATCTTTTCTCCCTATCACATCCTAGGCCTTATTGGCCGAGCATATTTCAACGTGTGCAACTCGCACAAAATGCTCTGAACGACAAGCGGCCATAAGATCTTCTGCACTAACTTAGATAGAACTGGCTTGTTCCACTTACCCACCTCTTTTGCTCCCTCAGCGCGATGTGTAGCTATCCAAATCTGCCAAGCACTTGTCACGACACTCGCTGTATTGTTCTTGCAAAGCCTCTAGTGGCCCAATTGACTCAAGAGCAAAGTCTCATCTTTTTTGGTAGTTGCTGCAGTCCGAGGTCTCGCTTCTGGTGATTACGACCAAATAGGGAAAGACAGGACTCAGTTTGAGACATAAGTTCTCAATCTAAGGGTTATTCGAAGGCAGAATATACTGCCGAGCTCCTCGTCGCAAAAGAACTCTTCAGATTTTCTTAGTACGACAATATTGTCGGAGGATGTCTCTGTTGAGTCGAGGGCGAAAAGATCAACATCAGTGCATTCGTTACTTCTATGGATGCCCTACTCGAGCTAGGAGCCTCTGCCGAGACACATTCAGTGTTCGCTTATGACGCGCATCATGAAGCAATCCCCCTGAACGTGAAATCTTGTCCTGATTCACAGAAGCACCGGCATTTACAGAATGTAGAAGTATCTGCCAGTCTCGAAGGGTGGACTGCAGTACCCACGCCTGGGCGAAACAATGGCTCGATATGGCTTTCAACGTCAGTCGAGGCCGTCCAGCCCGCTTACATCCATGAAATCATGGTAATTCGTCGATATCGAGAAGGCTGTGGTGAAAGATCCAAAATTGACTCAATGGGATGGCGGATATGGTAAGTGGTTCGCTACTGTGGGCAAGGGTTGAATCCACAGTAGGACTCCGGCGGTGTCCAGACGGAGAGTAAGCTGAAATTGTTTGCTGGCATTTCCTGGTCCCGATTCAAAGGACTCGAAGTGACACAAATTTGCTCAGTCTGAACGACTATGTAGCCTTGCCTCGGATCCCTGGATTGCTTGCTCTTTCGACCGTTGTCATGGGACATCGTTGCGTCTGCTGCTTAGGTCGATTTCTGGGGGGTTTGGCAACAATGTAGCCATAAAATACTGCTGCGACATGATTGTGTCAACCCAGCTGTGAATACTTACCTGCTCAACAACTTGAGCAAAGAAGAGGCAATGCTGAAGCTACACGGACGCATTGTCCATCAGGGACTTAGAAATGTTGTGTTTGAGGTTTTCGAGGATTTCAACTGCAACGGAGGACAACTTTCTGAAACGCGTGCTCAACCAAAGAGCCCAGCTTCAATATGGTCATGTCGTACAGAGCGGATTGTGGATGATCTGAATCTGGGACGGAGGCGGGAGCATCGACCGCTGCGTAAGATCATCTGTGGGAGTCCTGGTGACGGAAACAACACTGGGATAAAAACAGTACGTCCGTTCTTGATATCTGAGCATCCCAATACTTTACCTGCCTATCTGATTTGCCAGCATCTCCTAATGATTGACCTTGGATCAGCTGCAGCGCCCAGCGCAGTAGCATGGCTCACAGACTGTCTCTAGCCAAAGTCTTAGGGATCGCTCTCCTACTTCTCGCCCTGCGTCCGCTACCGTTCTCGGATCCAGACAGCGCTGAGTTGTGGCGGCCTGGACACTATGGTGCGCCACACGGTCTTGCAGAGCTGTCTGCGCACATGTGGAACTATCTGTGACCAATCCTAGACCCTCAAGCGATACATCGGAAAAAGTGAGCACATTTGACGCTGAGCAGTGATTGACAATCACGCGCTACTCGAGCGATCTTCGCACAAAAGCACCCGATGCGGTGAACGGCTGGAGACCGAGTTGGAATGATGGCAACCAGACCATACATTCACAAGGTACGGTTTCTGGTGTAGAGCGAAGCAGTCTTACAAACCTTGCTGAGATGCGTTGGAAGGCATCAACACCAGCACCGCTGGTCTTCCCAGATTCTACCAATTCAGCGCATCAAGATGTTTTCTTGGCTGAGGCTTTTGGGATTTCAGATATGAATCCATTCCTGGGTGAGAAGATTGACTTTTCCGGAGGTCGGTTACAAGATCCGCTCGTACTTCGAGACAAGATTTTCCCGGCAGCGTCAACGACAACGAAGACTGCAACTATGGCATGCCACACCAAGTTTGCGCATAGCTTGCATTACGTGAAATGACAAGCTGGAATCAGATTAATGTCTTGCTAGAGGAGGTGGAGGGCCCTGGTGGCGTTTCGGTTTCCCTGTTGTCTGTGTCTGTGTCCTGCACTAAGCTGCCTCAGGGCTGTTCCTACAATAAATTTTCTTTTTTGCCATAGATACATACCAACCATCAAGTCGCGATCCACTATATCGGGGAACATTGCATTTCCCCATTCTACGACAGACAGTTTGAATCCCATTCGCCCTTTTGAGTGATGTTCTTCTTCATCGTCGCCTGTATATTGCAACCTCTTTCGCAATCCTCGAACCGTTCTGCTCGTACGAAACCGAGGTCATTCTTTCCTTCAAGAAACTTTCGTAGATAAACATAACCAAAACGGATTGTACCTACTCGATGGTTTTGGCATTGATGACTACCGTCTTGCCATATACAATCTCGTCGCACAGTGATTTGCTCCTTTCGCCGGGGAAGTAGACAGCCGAGCATGCTGCAATCTTCAACCATCACTTCCTGAAAGCACTCCCGGTCGATAATTCCACCAGCCGCTCCCTCTCTTCCTCCGAGATATTCACTAACTTAAACTCCTCCGGATCGGCCTTGAAGCCCGCCTCTTTCCACTGCCTGTACTGAAGTATCTGCACCTTATGGAACGGGAGGTTCAAATCCCTCGCAACGCGATCCTGCACCGCGCTATGCAACGTATCCACAAGACCGTTCTCCGGCAATCCGATGATCTGCTCGATCTCCCTAGCCTCGGCTCGCTCTTTCTCGATCATTTTCTTGTAGGCCGCGCTACTTCTCCGTCGCGCGCCCTGGGGCCGCCTTTGGCTCTTCAGGACCTTTGTGTAGTCAAGCTCAAAGCCTTGGGTATCGTAGATTGGAGGCCCGCTGGGACCTCGCCTGAGCAGCTTCTCCTGACGTTCTGTGTCGGCTTGAAATCTGTCCTGGAGTCGCGCATCTTTGGCTCGTCTTGCTTCGATGGCTTTGGTAATGTAGCTTTCCTTGCTCGGGGCAGCCTTGGAGACTCTATTGTTATCTTTCGGCTTCGTGGTAATTGTGCTATCTGGTTTCTCAGTCGTCTTTTTTACTGTTGTCTTCTGGTTTGGGGCGGTGTTTTTTGGTCGAGAAGGAATCATCGTTCAGACGAATCAATGAAAAATAAACCCCAACTCTGGAACCGGCCAATCCGCAACAAAAGTCGCGTACTAACTAACTACTATGGTCCTAGGACGCGTCTCGAATGCCAAGTCGGTTCGATATGGCACTTGGCGCTGGCGCCCCTTTGGGTTTAGTCAATCTTGCAGCTCCGAGTTCGATCTCCCACTCATGCATATGGGGACGATTGACTCCTCCAACCCAACTCATTGCTCGCAACGCTCTTCGAAGGCTCTTGGGCTGTACATATTTGAAGCACCGGATCAGTCCGTTCAACAGCTGTCTTTCCGTAGAAGATGGCTAAGAAAGGTAAAGGCCCTCCCTCATCTCCTTCTCTCACCTCATTATCTTCATTTCTCAGTTCCACTAACTCACACTCTTCGTATCCAGCCAAGTCCCGCACAATAGCCGTCCGTCTCCTCTCCATGGCCATGACCGGCTATTTTCGAACTATGGTCCGACCACGAGCCCATCGACCCCTATCGATGCTGAAATACGATCCCGTGGTGAAGAAGAAGGTGCTGTTTTTGGAGCAGAAGAGGGGTGGGAAGTAATCTTTGGGACAACCATTCAAGAGAGCAAATGGCATTTTCTGGATATGAGATTATGTGTGAAGTCGATAGGGCAGTCGCTTGAGGCAGGAGATGCGGCTTCGATGATCCCGGGTGATGGCATGGTCCAGGGCGTGCGATGCATTAAGGACCGATACAGGGAGTTTATTCGTGGTAGACGAGCAAAGATGGTTGGATGCCAGACTCATGGATGGAACGAAGATTCTCGTGCCAAACACATAAGAGGAAGTGCGAGATTATCAAACGAGACGAAGCTATGGGAGGAGTTGGGAATAGGTGGCACAGGATCCGCCCTGCATAAGTTTGATCATATGCATCGCAAAAGATGCACCGAGAGGGAGAAGTACAGGACATTCCTAGAGGGTGCTTTCAAAAAGAATAGAGAAGGTTGGAGGACTGCAGCTGCTTCTATCTAGCTAATAATATTGTCTACGCTCAGTTCTCCCGTCATTGGAGCCAGATTTGCAACGATAGCTCAAGAATAGCACTTTTGACATCGCATCATATCATGTTGCCCAACATCTTGTCATTTTTATCGCATTTTTGAATCCATTTTCGAGCTCAAGCAAATCAACGCAGCACTGATTTCAGCTGCTAGAACAACCTTCAGCAGGTTTTGGAAGTAAGATACAGGTTCAGTCTCATACCTCATCCGGCTCGAGGTAGGTGTTGCTCCCATCTGTTCCCAATTCTCAGTCGCGCTGGGTTCCAAATCGTTCGTTATATCGCTGACCTATTCCAGTCAGTATCCTCTAGATATAGTGATGATGAGGCATTCCTCACTTTTTAACCCCCCTCTTGACCTTTTGGGGCCCTGCTTACGATTCCCCGGAGCTGGAGCATTCTTGCCGACAATAGCGCTCCTGCTTCCTGCAGTCGAGTTGGAGGATTGCTTAAGCCTAGTCATGCTTTGCCCAGCTTTGTCTGGAGTGGACGAGCTGAGTGACTGTGAAGCGGTTCCTTGCCGACTCCTAACCTCCATATTCGAGAGATTTCGTCTTGCACGCTTCTTCCCTTTAGGCGTAGCCTCGTCACTCATACCTGCCGCCTCAGATTTACGCTTTATCGCTGAGTTGGGCTGGTGCTTCTCCTTCACGGGTAGAGGAGTAGCGGGCCTTGCGGTGTTGACATCGTCACCAAGGTTCTGAAGAGGCCGTCTCGTGCTGGTTTGAGAGCTAGACTCGCTGCTGCGGACTCTCCGTGGGCTTGAATTGTTTGGTAGATTTTTGCTGCGTTCGTTGGCATCGACTAGCTTCATGTCTGGTCTTGGCAGCGGTGTCACCTTTGGCCTCACTTGCATGTTCATTTTCGGTAGCCCTCGTGGCAGGGTCGAAAGGGGGCTGGTAAGTATGTCTTGGGTACCAGGATTCGACTGCGTGGAAGGAGCAATGTTCCCCGAACCACTTGTTTGCAAAGACCCAACCCCTTCTAGATCGTCGAGGAGCAGTGGTTCACCATATGAGCTTGAGCGGGGTCTACTGTCCTGGCTCAGCTTTTCGCAGTTATATGTTTGACGTCGCGAGCCATTGCCTTGGTGACCCTCGTTCGATAATGAGTCCTCTTCGTCGAGCGTTTGCTCAATTGCGGCGACACTGTTCTCTAAAGCAACATCGCCAAATTCATTGCGGTGAACCTGGGTCTTGACGTCCTGAGACGCTGTAGGTAAATCTTGATCTGACGGGTCAAACAGTTCCCCAATATCACTAAGCGGTGAGGAGCTCATGATAATTCCTTTCAATCCGCCTTGCACATTTCTGGGTGGAGAGCACATGTGGAGTTCTTGTGCTCGTGGCTGGGACTCCGGAACGACTGTAACCTCGTCAGGGTTTCGCTCCGCAGACGCATGGCTTCCATTTGCTTGGTTTGCCGATGCCATAGGGACAGCATCGGCTCTGAGATGTCTGAGCTTCGAAAAATCTTTGTCCAGGTCAGGTTCGACTGTCCTGGCCTCCGGATTGCTTGCGCTGCGAATAGCACTTCTTCTGATCTTGCGAGAAGTTGTCTTCTCCTGGTCGGCATGACGCGTCTCTTTTTCCATACTCGTCGGGTCACTGTTGATGGCACCGCTCTCATTTTGCGCAAGATTGTTCTCAGCAAGACGGCCAGTCTCCAGGAAAAAATCCTTGCCCAGAAGGTCCTCCATATCTGCTTGTCTTGATGCTTTTTGCAGCTGTGATTCGGCATGATAGCGGTCCAACTCTACCCGAAGTGCCGTGATTTGCGCATTTTTCTGTTGAAGTTCTTCGCTCAAACACTTAACAGAATCGCTTTTCTGCTCGGCCACGGCAGCCTGATCCTGCAGCTCCACGATCGTTCGACGCAGCGAAGCATTCGTAGCCTTCGTAGACTGTACGTCTTCGGCATTTCGATGAGCATCCTCTAGGTCGCGCTTCAGATTACTGAATGTCACGGAGAATTGATCCATCTGTGCCTGCATCTTGGGAACATCTGTACAAATATTCTCAGCTTCGGCCAGCTTTGCTCTTAGCTGTTTGATCTCATCCTTCTGAGCTCTGGTCTCATTTTCCAACATTGGCATTCGAGCAGTTTCTTCCCTTGCGGTTTTCAAAGTCAACCTTGTGGATTCACATTCGTCCTTAGATGTGCTCAACTGCTTCTGCAGGTCATCGATCTTCCTGAGAGTGTCGTTGTAGTGGGCGGCCTTAATGTTGAGCTGATCGATTTGTTCATTTTTTTGATGTATTTGGCTTTCGAGGAGACCTACTCTGTCTTGAGCGCCTCTCAAACGCCGAGTCTCTTCTTTGCACTCATGCAGCTCCGTTATGAGGGTGGAGACTTGCTGTTTAGTTGCCTCTGCGGTTTGTAAACGTGTATTGAGCTCGGATATCTCTATACTCTTGTTCTCAGCGTCAATTCGACGGTCGTGGAGTTGCTGGTGCATGGTCTTGAAAGACTCGAGCTTCTGCCGCAGATCTGCAATGACGCCATTGTTGGCTTCACACTCAAGCGCTAAACTTGACGCACAATCAGCCTGCTTTCGCAAGTCGTCCATTTGCGCGACCTGGAAGTTCAAGTCGTCAATCGTGGACTTGGCTCCGTCGCAGTCTCGGATGGCTTGACTGAGCCGAGATCTCGATTCATCAAGCTCTTGCAAAATGGTACGGTGGGCCAACTTGACTTGTTTCAGTTCTTCCACCTGGCTATCACAGTTGTTCCTCAGAGTCGTTAGCTCCTCCCGAAGATCACGGATACACATTTCTCTTTCAGCAAGCTAAAAGGCTGTGTCAGTCATAGTAGGCTATTATCAGCAGAATGCACTCACCATTTGTTGTTTTTCACGATTGGTAGTATCCACATGCTCTAGAAGCCGTTTCGATAATTCCTGAACTTCTTCCACCAAATTCTGTTGGTCTACTCGGGCCTGGCCTAGCTGATCTGACAGACTTTGGATTTGTTGCTCTTGGGCCTGCAGCATGCCATCTTTGCCGTCTATCTTCTGCTTGATCTCGACCAGCGCACTATTTGCGCCCGTGTATCTGATGAGTAGATTCTGATGCTGTTGCATCAGACCAGAGTCCTTCTTAGCTGTCAAAGCTAGTTCTCGCAGCTTGGACAATTCATCCAATAGTTTGTCATTACCAGCTCTCGCATGCTCTTCTCGCTTCTCGGAAGACACCTTGCTCTTACCGATTTCCATAAGCATATTTTCGTTACCTCTTACTCTTTCCTCGAGCAAATTCTTGGTTTCTCGCAACTCTGCGATTTCATCTTGGTTCGTGGAATCGCGGGCCAATTCATTGAAATGCTGGGTTATCTGAGACAAGAGATTGCCGTCTGCGTTTGCACGAGCCGTGGTCGCTTTCTGTAGAGATTCCTCGAATTGTTTCTTTGACGAGTCGAAACTAGAATTCATTGGGCAGTTAGTGATGAGCTGACAACTGACGAGGGCCAGCCTACCTTTTAATCAGTGCATTTACCACTTGTATCATGTCTGTCACATCCGCTGGGCTGGCTGTCTCGACCTTAATCAGCGCTGATAACATCTCAACACACTGGTCAAGAGCCGGAAGAGTCGGTGGCACCGCAGCAGTAGCGTGGTTCACTTCCAGCCCAGTGAGTTTGTCCTTAATGCTATTCAATGCATTCAAAACATGCTGCTGTTCTCGCTTAATCACGAGGCTGAGCCTGTCTTGCTGGCGTGTAATATCAACGATATGGTTTTCGTATTTTCTGTTCTTCTGCCGTTCTTGCACAAGCAGCTGCTGCTCACCCTGCAGCTTTAAGTTGGCCTTGTTGGCAGTCTCTTCGAAATATGCAGCGTCGTGGCGAACCTCTAAAAGGTGTGTCTTGAGCTTGTTTATAGCATGGCTGGACGAAGTCGTGGAATCTATGGCTTCTTCGATAGCTTGATGGATTCCATCATGCTCATCTCGTAAGGCACGCTTTTCTTGGCCCATTGAGATTGCCTTGGCCTTTAAACTCTCCTGCTCGTTGTGCACCATTTTCATGTAGTCCTTGATCTTCACGTACCCGTTCTTGATGTCATTGATCACCATTTTCTGGGCTCTGATCTCTGCTGCCTGTCTGCTGCGGGATGTACCTAAATCATGAAGCTGCTTTTGATACTCCCGTGCTGCTTCACATAGACTTGTGTTCTCGGCTTCCACCTGACGGAGTCGTGCAGCAAGCTGCTTTTCAATATGCTCCCTTTTTCGGTATCGATGCAGGAGGAGGAAGTACAAGTCCTCCTCAGACGGCACACGATTAGCCGAGACTGCTGAACTGTTTGAAGGCAGCAACGACGGCTGCTGTTGCTTAAGAGTACGATTCTTCTCCACTCCCTCATGTCTCGCACGCAGTGAGGGCGTCTTAGGCGAATGGTGTGGGCTTCCGACGGTTCCGCGGTCGCCTGCGATCATTCTTGGCGTATGTCTTCCTTGCTCACTAGATGTGACCCTGCTTTTGCTCGAAAGCTCGATATGGGTAGGACTGTCTTCTTTGCATAAGCTTTGAGAAGACAAATGCCTTTTTTCGTTTAGACGGTCGTCATCTGTCAAATCGACTACACTTTGTGTCTCCTTTCTGTAGCTGGTGTGCTCACTACTGCGAGATGGTTCGGCATTCGTTGCAATATTAGGTGACAAATCAATGACCTTTGCATGACCCGAATTTGCTGGCTCACTACCATCCGCCCGATATTTGTCCAGACTCGCACCAGCCGGCGATACCGGCAAGACGCTGATGACATCAAGACGTAACTCTGGGCTGTCTGTCAAGATGGTTCTCCTTGATGTTTCAGGGACGGATATTCTCTTCGAAGGTTGGCGGTTTGTCAATTCCTGGTTGCCACACATATAATCATCCTGCGTTGCCTCGCTGTTCTCTAAAGGACCTGCAGGCAGAGGTTCTGAGACGTGGCAGAGATTGGTGTGAATGTCCCTCAGGCTAGGTGATTGTCTTTTATGACCGGTATGATCATTTGGCGTTTGAGCAGCTGGACTATACGGATCTTGTGAGTGCTCACTCTTGCATGAAAGATTTGACTTCTGACCTTCGTTGATTGCTCCCTCGTGCAGCCACGGCCTCGCCATCTGTAGGCTTACCAGCGTCTAGGTTAGAACTGAGCTCACCTTGGGGGAAATCGAGGAGATTGGTTGAATGCTTTTTGGCGATGTGTATATTACGATTCCGTGGAACTCCGAAGGTGAAGTTCTGAGACCCGCTTGATCCTGAGCTGATGGGCCGTACCATGACTTTTGCAGGCACCTCGGTATCATCGCTTTGAGGGTGGTTCATCGAAAGATGCTGCACATTTGGCATACCAGGAGACTCGGGTTGGGGACGCCCATCCTCAGACATTGGAAGATATTCATAATATTGGGATGCATGTTGCCGTTGATGCTCATTAGCACCTGCCATCATAGAGTGTTTTGTTAATGCCTAGACAACTTGTAACATCACCAGTAGCTGGGTGTGGGGTCCGAAATGACAAGCATCAGAGTACGCGAGAGAGATGAGCCCTGAAAAGATAAGATGAATATGGACTAAGGTGGCAGCAGTTGCTGTAAAGGATAGCTGCGGAAGAGTTTGAAATGAGTGAAATAGATAAAACAATGGGACAAGAAAAGAGGTCGGTAAAGAAAACAGTAGAAGGCATAGTTATAACACTAACAAGAAGAGCGCTCGCGTGCTCTTAGTAGCATCTCGCTCGCAAGGACAAGGACGTGTAAGAGGCTGGCGAGGAAGGCACAACCCTCTCAAGCATACGTTCTTCTCAACAACACTGTCTCCTCCTCCTCCTCCTCCTCCTCCTCCCACCTCCATAACAGTACCTTTGACTCAGATGACGAAATTGGAGCTTGATCGAATCGTGCAACAATGCAGCACTTCCTTTCATAAAATTGAGATTCCCTACCAGCAGACCGTCAATAGTGTCACTGGGGATCTTGACGAGTTATGACGCGTGTAGTACTCGACACTTGTGCGAACGATTGTTTCTTACGTGGCTCACTCATTCTGCCATCACTGCATGGCGTAGGCTGTCCGTAACGCCACTGGGCACCACATACTTATACCTCGTCGCGTCGTTGCTAAGGCTAGCTCTATGCTACGTCCTCCACAGAAACCCATGGAGAGAAGAGGTGTGCTGCTTTTACCCACAACAACTCAGAACGGGCTCACCGTGCAGAGTTCTGGCTTTTCGTCCTAAAAGACTCGTTCTCGTGTCGTTGTGCATGGTATGATATATGATCCCGAGTATCGAGGACTTGGAGCACAAGCCTGTACCTGAGCTTATCTTCATCGGGCCTAGCAGGTGATAACATATCACATGCAGTGCACGAACTCCCATTGGCTTAAACTGGGCGGCTCTGCTTTGATCACTGCATCACATGGGCGGCAAGGCGTCGAACCATCTGCGTTGTCCAGCATTGATGAGATCCGAACCTTAAACAATCACTTCGCAATCACAATCATGCGACCTGGTTTGGGTAAAGCTCTACCAAAGATAGCTCGAAACGAGCAGAACTTTGTGGCTGCCACGACTCTGGCGCTGAGAATTGATGCTGTGGGCCGGACGAGACCGTGAAGAAGGGCGGCTGCACGAAATGCTCGCAGCCGTCAACCCGGATTGAAGTCTTCCTTGTGGTGGTAGGTCCAGCTGTTAATGCATGCTGCAGGTTCAGCTTATTGTTTTCCTTTTACAACACACGGTTTGCGCATATTGTTCCGACAAAGAAAACCCCTCTCTTGATTCTAGAAAGTAACTTCAAGTCCTGGTGCTGGTCATCTACCTACGATGTCGACAGCCCGAAATTCCGCTCTTAGGGTGCTCTTCTTCTTCACTGTCATTAACCTCCTCTCCACAACCGCCGCCCAAACCGCCTCATCAACATACGGTGTCTTCTCCGCCTCCTCTTCCCCTCAAAGCAGCAACAACGACCCCAATGGGTTCCCCTCCTCCTCCCCAAATGACAATCCAGATACAGAAAACCCCGAAACAGCCGGCGCATCCGGTTCCTCGCAAACCGCCATTTCCCTCAGTACCGGCGACCAAATCGCCATCGGCGTGGTGGTCGGTCTAGTCGCCCTCATCGGCATGGGCTCCGCCATCCTCTTCTACATTGCCAAGAAGCGACAATGGGAAGTGCGTGCCAGCCTGCGCCGATCAGCGCGGCGCGTTACAACCGCCTTCAAAGCAAGGACGCCTGTGAAAGCGAACTTCTCAAGGAGGGACAGGGGAGGTGCTGTTAGGATTGACCCGCCTTCACCATCACATGCACAGACCTCGAACAAGTCGAAGAGAAGCGGTGGGATCTTGAAAGAAGCGAAAAGACCTGCCCCTGAAGGAAGGAGCGACAATACCCGGAACATGGATCGTGACGTGGAGAAGGGATTTGGGACGAAGACCAAGATCGAGGCTGTGCCCAGGCTTACGTCTCCTTCACCACAGTCATCTCGGCCAACGGGTCAGGCGCCCAAAAGTTCCTTCGAGATGGACTCACCCTTGAAAGGAAACCGACCCGATGCTGGGGTCGCGGGGAAGAAGGGTTACAAGGGTTGGATGAAGATGTTGGGGAGGAAGTGATGATTAGGATGTTGCAGGGAAGGAGTCAGATGTGGGTACAGGGAGTTTAGGTAAGGCTGGGATCGGACGTAGTGGAGTTATGAATGCCGATGTACTTTTTCTAGCAGGGTATCAAAATCAATGTATTCAATTCATGCCTATTCATCGTCCAACCAATCGACCAATCATAACTTCCTTTCAAGCTTACTGCCCATTGTGTCCATACCATGAAAATAAGAGTGAGGTCCGGAGCAGCAAACCTATGTCTCATTACTCGGCTCTTCGGGATTTTCCGTAAAGAGTACTTTATCCATCGTGTCCTGACGAAATGTCGACATATCGACCGCTCAGACTTTCCCCCATGGTTATGTAGGAAACTGCCATGGTGTGCCCTTGAGCGATCCCCTATGCTTTCTTCTTCCCAGTTGCTTTCCAGGTGGAAGTTTGATGAGCGAATGTTCGGGATGTTATCCACCTATGGGCATGGGTAGACTAAGGGGTGGATTTGGTTGGATGATTGATATGATGGATAGATGGAATAGTGAATGGGTTCATGGGTGCGGTCTATCTGTTGTGCTGGTTTTGGCTGAGGTGATGAGGCTTTTCCGAATGAAAAATGGGTTCTCTTAAGAGCTTGCTCGGTTGACGAATTCATTAGGGTAATCTGCCGTTTGGTGGTTTGGATCAGATCAAGGTAGAGAAATACCGCAAAGTTGCAGATTGATCTGGGTAACTACCCTTAATACCTTGCTATGTGAAATGAGACCAGTGAAAGAGATGAGAAGAGGTCATTCTCAACCGGTCGGACAGTTCTGTAAGTCAGCGGCGAGTGATGGGGATATCTGAGGGATATGATGTTGTGTGTGCCCTGCGGCTTTGGCATACGCTTTCCGCTCATCGACGATGACCATGTGATGATATGGATCTGCCTCACAGCTCTCCTTTCATTCTCAAAGCGGGGGTGATCACGTAATGGCTTGCGTGGAGCCTCTTAATTCGAGAAACCCACAAGGGATGGGAGCACATGTCCCTGTCCCGCTACCTGGTGTTAGTGATCTTTTCCAACGGCTACGTGGCAGACTTCGTCAAGGTTCATCAGTACAGCTTGTATGATGCTTGCTGAATGCCTGGTCTTCAGGTTCAGGCCTGCTGGGGCCAGACGTTCTTGACTGAGTCTGGGCTGGCATATGCTCGACCATTTTGCACCCATCAACGTCAAGGCAAGAGCAAAAGTCCGCTACTTACTAGGCAACGAAGGGTGTCAGCAGCTGAATCTCTTTTAGGTCAAGATTTGTGGGGTGATTTTCGAGGCGTTCTTGAAGAGGTGTGCCACGGTAGCAATAGGGTAACCCGAGAAAGGCAGCTTTTCGTAGAGGAGGTAGTTAGCTCAAATAAAGATGAGCCCCAGGTGCCCATCTATAACAAGGCGTAGTGGAGGTAGGCGTAGTGGAGGTCGGCGCAGATTCCCATGACTCTGCTATGACTACACAATCGTGATTATGGTGCGGCGAGGGTTTGACCGCATAGCTCCGGATACGATGGTGGCAGCTCTTTTGCAATGTTTGCTCTGGAAGCATGCGGAACGCCCCATGCACTTGCTGCTCGTTCTCGCCGTTAGCTTGGAGGATCCCGCAGTTGTCTCTATTACCTCTGTCATACCATAGGTCTGCGCTCAAGGTTTGCGGGGCCACATTGGATTGCTCACCTACTTCTGGCATGCTGTGACACCTAGGGTCAATGGATGGGATTTGCACAGCAGATGGATATCCTGGTAGGCAGCTCGAAGAGATAGATATTGAAAAGGGAAAGCTTTGGTGGAACACATCTTACTAACAATGAAAACATCTCGTAATCTTCCGTACAAGCGGCAGCTGTAGATGGAAGATACTTACAAGACAACGTAAGTAGCTGCCTAGTCAGCCAACGACCAACAGGCAGTCTAAGGGACCTTTCGTGTTGCTTCTTCCAGGATAGTACTCCCGAGGGATTCCATCCAAGATATGGCCACAGAGTCTGACATTATACTAACTAGTTAGGCCGCATGCACTAGAGATTAGATCCGGTTCATATAAACGGGTCGCAGCACAGACACAGTCTCTAACGAGGCAAATAGGCTGAGATGCGATGAGCAGCAGACTTCTGATGTCGAATATGTGGACACGAGTGCATTCGTGGATGCAAACATGAACAGGCCTCCGCTCTGCTAGCGTCTCGTAGAGAGCCGCATAAACGCCACAAGCATTGAGCGAGGAGGTTTGTGCGGATGACCAATTCGAAGTCTGGTCTGACTCAGTAACTATACGGAGAATTGAGGCTAAGGCCAATAAGAACAGTACGCGACAATTTCAGCAAATACTCAAGACAAAGAGCGCTTATGAACAGAATTAGAAGAAGGTCGAGGCAGTTGAAATGTAGTGTTTCAGTCTCATAGAAGTATGCCAAGATGCGTGGGTTGAGTGTCAGAGGACGTTTCATGGAGTAGTATGGGAGAGGTTTGAGGAGTATTCCATGCTTCAAGCTGAACGGCCGGCAGCACTGGATGCATGGAGGCCAAGGTCAGGCCAGCCATGACGAGTCTATTGACTCTATTCCAGCTGAGCATGGACGAATTCCAGCGTCAATTGACGGATTTGATCTCGCCGAAGATAGCGGTAGCAAAGGGCCGATGACGCATTGGCTGAGATCTGGTGGTTTGGTGACAAGAGGGACGAGGATCGGGTCAGTGCTAAGTAGAGTTGCAATGTGACAACAGGACAAGGCAGCATCCAAGGCATCTTTCTCAAACTTCAGTTGCGACAGACAAGGTGTGGGGTATTTGGCTGTAACCACATTAACTAAGCCCATACAGTGACCCAAGAAACCCCAGACATGCATATCGTGTACCCTAAGTTCAGTAGTTTGTGCCCACACAAACACAGTCAGCAAATCAAATCGTCATGCACGCGCAGGAAGACTGCCAATTGGCCCTGCAAATTGAGCCTTGAAGCACTTGTCTCGTCGATGACTGGAGCTTTACTACGTATATGTAACTAGTTAGCAACAATGATGCACAGATTGACGTTGTGCAGCACTCATGGAACGGCTGCTTGCATAGGGCTAGGGGCTAGAGGTGAGGTTCAGTCATCCCCACCCCCGGGTCAGCTGGTTGCACTGGCTTGCCCTATTCTCGAGGACGGTAAATCCCCCCGGCCTGTCAATACTAACGATAATATGGTGGCTTCGCACAGTCTTTCCTGAATGCGCCTCTCTGCTGGAAGGGATTTCTCTCTGGAGCACGAACGAAACGTGTCAGTTGGTCAGATGGCAGGTCAGAAACGCTTTTTGTGGCGGGCCCTTTGGTGGCCGTGTAATTCGGGGTGAGATGCAACCAACACTTCTGCTCTGCCCCCGCTCTACTCCAATCAGAATGACTCTTGCTGCGAAACAGTCATCGCATCGTCCCAAAACGTTTCGACAATTGCCACAGGTGTCGCTTTCGGTTCATGCAAGCTCCACTCGCCGGGTTTTAGAGTCGGTTCAGAGTCTGGAACTGGCCGCACATGGATGCCTGCTATGACCCATCCTTCACACACTGCCTGACCTGGCGCAGGCATCCAATCTAGGTTCTCCAGAGTGTCGCAATCTGACATGCAAGATGTATAATTGCCGTCATCTCTCCACTCGTTTGAATAGTTGCGCTCCACCTTCAAATCATTGTAATTGCTTGACATTGCAGGTCATTGTTCGATTCTTTCCTTTGCTAGAGCGATTCTCTTCTTGGTCTTCCCTTATTCCCCCTTTTCTCCTTCGCAAGAATCCTTGACTGCTTTCATTGGTCACTACAATACCTACACACCAGATCAAAGCTGTCCACATCATCACCCACAACGGGGCTCGAGGATTTCGAATACATTACACCAGTCTACGGCGCCAATATGAAGATGCCCATGAATGGAGGCGAAGGCTCCCGGCATGTCGGGTTTGCTCCGGAGCCAGTCTATTCCAGACTGCCACGGGTGGACGAGGAGTACGTTATGGAGCACTTCCATAAGCACGCTAAACATTGTGACGACTGCCATGACCCCTATAAGACTTACAAGAAGGGCGGTACGCTGTGTGATCAAGGACACAGGCTTGCCCAGGATGTTGCGGGCTACATGTACTCAAAGGGTGGAAAAGCATATTCGATGCTGGATCGGGAAAGTCTCAAGCAAAGAGTGCAGGTCGAGATACCCCCGCACTGCGATAAAGTTCGCGGCCTTCTACAAGCTGTAGATCACGGTCTACGAGTGCAGAAACCAGGAGCACTCAAGTCACAGGATAAGAACTACTACGTGCCGACCAGACCGGATAGGCGAAGCTATCATGATGATCGTCATGGAGGTGCAGTCAAGGAACCCAGGAGACGTCACGAGGAGGAACGTCGATACCATGATGACCGTAGATATCGATCCGACCCAAATTACCAGCGTGCAGAGAGACATCGTTATCCAGAGAAGCGGCAGAGTATGCCCTCCCACTATGCGCCTTATGGAAGCGTCTGGGAGACGGATCCGGTAGAGAGGAAGTACCAGCAGTCCTACTATGACGGCAACCCCGTCTACTACTATAAACCTTCGAGGGGCGGAAAAGAGAGAAGAATCCCTCGGAGCGAATCACCAAAATGTGAGTCGACTAGACGAAGACTACCAGAGGACTACCGCTCATCTAGATATGGAATTCCCTCAAGCCATCGCTCATCGAGGTATGATTATTCAGATAGCTCCCGTCCATCGAGATACAACTCACCAGATGTTTATCGTTCATCAAGATACGAATCCCCAGATAGCTATCGCTCATCGAGACATGGGTCACCTAAGAGCTATCAGTCATCTTGGAAGACATCGCCCGAAAGGTACTCGTCGAGAAGAAGCTCCTGGTCCCCTGAGCGGTTATATCGAGAGCTTTTTCGATGAATTCGGGATGTCATGGAGACAAAGGGGGAAAAACGAGGCTTTTGACACGGCATGCGAGCCGAAAGGCAGCCAATGGATGGCCTGATCAATACCGGCTTGTAACAGTCCAGAAAGCGCCCATCAGCCTCAACTCTACAGGACGGCCCAGCCACAGGCTCGGCTAGCAGAATCCAACCAGCATTGAGTTCAGCATGATGGGTACGAGTTGTCGGAATTGCTTGGAGCACGTGCTTCACGGTTCAAAAGTCTGCGATTTTACGGTGCCGCACAGAAAGACACATGAACAGACCCTATCTACCACAAAGAGGACAAGGCATTGACCTGAAACAAGGACTGATGATATTGGTCATCGAGTTTTGTGTAGGGAAATTTGGCAGAGCTGCCTGAAGGAGTAGCGCAATAGAGCAGGCGTTTGAATATTGGGCTGCGCTCTTGCCTTTGTGCAATCGAGCTTGCAGAATAGCGAGATAGAAGTCTTCTGGGGACGCATGGTTTATATGCCAAGATAGAAGATTCAAATCACATTCCTTGATTTACTACACTACTAGTACCTGCGCCTCCTGCCAATAATCTTCTGGGACTGTGTGACTAATTTTTCCCCTCCGATGTTCGGACCCTGCTAGCCCCCTCAGCAGCGGGATCACATGGCCGAAAGCGGAGCCGTATCCCACAAGCGGAAAGGCTCCGGGCTTGGCTAACCAAGTCAGCGGATCAGATAAGATGCAAATTTCCAATCTGATAAGATTACCAACCAATCACCCTCTTCGCTGCCGAGGAAGCATCCACTGTGGCTTTGTGTAACTGGGAAGTTGCAACTCCAGCAGAGCTCGAGGCCGTGCTTCCAAATGCTCTGCTGAGTACTTTAAGGTTTGGTTGTCTGTCGAAGCTCAAGGCTTTTGTCTCTAATGTGACCAGATAAAGGGAGCTTGGATCCCGCCCAAGGGAGAAACGGTCTTTTTACTTCTCTGCTACGAATCGAAGACTTATGTTCTTACTTTTCTGATTTCTCTCCCTGTTCGAGGTCACTGCAGGTACTGTTCCATACTTTCGATGGTGAAGCTCCTGTCTTGAGTTTCATTCTGCCGAGAAACAGACAACCGTCCAACTGCCCTTTAGTAGAAGCAGATTTCCCTGCAGAGGACGCTGGTCTTTGCCCGACATAGAGGGAGAGCCATAGAGCCATCTTCTCTATCAATTTGCGATGTTCGATACCTCGAACGAAAAGGCCATCTCCTCCTCTACAAGCACAGGTCCAGACCATCAAGGTTATGATGGCCAGAGAGCGACCGACACTGTTCCCTATGGAGGAGGTATTCTTGGCGAGAAAAGCCCGGGTGTGAAACGCATCGAAGCAATATCAGCCCAATTTACCAAGGTCGACCGTATCTTCGTCTTTCTTGGCGTCTTCTTGATTTCCTACGCATATGGATTGGATGGTATCATCCGGTATACCTATCAGGTGAGAATGGTGTAGGTATGGTGATGCTCGATAGATTCCTAACGCTTTTTCCTAGCCTACTGCCACTGCTTCTTACAGCACGCATTCCCTTCTTGCAACCGTCAACGTCATTCGTGCTGTCATCGCGGCTGCGGCTCAACCAACGGCTGCGCGGATCGCTGACGTATTCGGTCGTGTCGAGTTGATTCTCGTCTCGGTCTTCTTCTACGTGCTCGGCACTATCATCGAAGCATGCTCAAATAATGTGCAGGCATTCGCTGGAGGTGCTGTACTGTACCAGATCGGGTATACTTGCGTTCTCCTCTTGGTCGAGGTTGTTATCGCAGACATCACGAGCCTGAGATCCAGATTGTTCTTCTCTTACATTCCGGTACTGCCATTCATTATCAATACGTGGATCAGCGGCAATGTGACCAGCGCGGTGTTGGGCACAACGACTTGGCGATGGGGGATCGGAATGTGGGCGCTGATCTATCCTGTCTGCGCGCTTCCACTGATCATCGCACTCTACCTTGTCGATAGGAGAGCCCGTAAAGCGGGTAGTCTGGATGCATACAAATCACCCTACCAGCTTCTTGGAGGCCGTCGATTAATGATCGAGCTGTTCTGGCAGCTCGATGTGATTGGCGTCATCCTGCTCATCGCTATCTTCGGCCTCATACTTGCACCATTGACTCTCGCCCAAGGTCAAGCCAATCAATGGCAGTCCGGAAAGATCATTGCTCCGGTTGTAATCGGCATCGTTTGCGTGCCGGTCTGGATTGTGTGGGAACGCCGGGCAAAACATCCCATCGTTCCGTTCCACCTATTGAAAGACCGTGCGGTATGGGCTGCGTTGGGCATGGCAACGATGCTCACTTTTGCCTGGACCATGCAAGGTGACTACCTCTACACCGTGCTCATCGTCGCATTCAACGAGTCAATCCAGTCTGCAACCCGAATAACATCTCTGTATAGTTTCACATCCGTCATCACTGGTGGTCTCGTGGGCCTGGTGGTTCTCAAGGTGCGGCGGATGAAAGCCTTTATCGTTTTTGGCACAGTCCTCTTTCTCGTTGCCTTTGGACTATTAATCCGCTATCGTGGTTCCCCTTCTTCATCTGGCCATTCCGGGATAATTGGCGCCCAGGTTGTGCTCGGTATTGCGGGGGGGCTGTTTCCTTACCCTGGCCAGACTTCAATCCAAGCAGCAACGCGACATGAGCATCTTGCTGTCATCACGGGTCTGTATCTAAGTTGCTACAATATCGGCTCGGCACTCGGGAACGCCGTCAGTGGTGCTATATGGACACAGGTTCTTCCCGGACGGTTGGATACCAATCTCGCAGGGTTTGGGAATGCAACCCTAGCCACAAGCGTGTTTGGTGACCCTTTCACGTTCATAGCTGCATACCCTGTTGGCACGCCGCAGAGAGATCAAGTGATCGATGCATACCAGTATACGCAGCGCTTGCTTTGTATCACAGGCATTTGTTTGTGTGTTCCTTTGATCATATTCTCCTGTTTATTGAGGGACCCGAAATTGGGCAAGGAGCAAAGTAGGCCGGAAGCTGAGGGTGGAATCGGCGGAGAGGGCCGATATGGTGCGAGCAATGGCGAGGCTGGAAACGAGGGGAAGACGAAATGGTGGGCTCGGTTGAGGTGAGAATAGCAGTCTGGCTGGCTTGCTTGCCCGATCTGGGCAACGTCTTTTTAGGTACGGGGTATGCAGAAGAATAAATGCATATCGTCCTTTGGTTCACGTCAACTTATGCAGTGTGATATCGAATGCCAACCCGTTGTTTGCTACTCCGTACTGCTGCTGCTACTAGTTAGTAGTAACCAATCACCTCCTTTGGCCTGGGTCAGCCTTGGCAATCATCTCTCTCCAACAAAGTGCGAGCTGAAGCTCCGGCACGAGAGAGAGATGGTGAGCGTTGAAATACTCCTTGTTCCTGCATATGGTTTTAGTCGCTTAGATCTAAGCGAGTACGGAGGCGATAGGCGATTCAACATGCAAGACCATTTCTTGACTAGCTCTGTCCAGTAAAGGATTCCCCCTGGCTCATGGCACTGCGAGACCTCTCCACTCAACTTGCCATTATCATTTTCAACCATGAGCGATACTGGTCGATTGCTCGATTACTCCTAACATGGATTCTGTGGGACCTCGGGCAGTCAAGCGGAATGAAGACAAACCGTCCTTTCTCTCCCTCCCGGGCGAAGTCCGCAACGCCATTTACGCTCTCCTCCTCCCGGACTCAGGATCAACAATATCCCTGGGCAAGCAATATGACTTCAAGACCTACTGTGTCTTCCGTTCCGCACCCTTCCACACGGCACTATTCCTGACATGCCACCAAGTCCGTCATGAAGCATCTTCACTCTTCTACCCTTGCAACACCTTCTGCATCTCCAGGCCTACCCAGCTTACCCTCTATATCCGCGACCTAACAACTCATACCCGTGATCAGCTCTCTCATCTCTCAATCTCAGTAACTCTATCCCTAAGCAGTCTGTCCCGCCGTCGGCGAGCCAAGTCCCTTACATCGACTGACTTCCCACCCAAAGGACGAAACGCCAATGCAATCCTCACCCAGAATCGGGATCTGAAACATCTGTCGAAATTCACGGCCCTAAAGCTCCTGATCATTTCCCTCAACATCGAGGCCTGCGATCTGCAGCGCTACCTCGCACCATCTCACGTCACGTTCTTGGATGATCTAGTCCCACGCAATGCAGAAATCAGGCTCGAGGTTGGCAAATGCGCCCACTGTCTCCACTGGCACGATTCCACCAGCAATCCGCTGGCGATAGATGATGTGGAGAAGAACCAGCAGTGGTGGAGGTGGGAATCCTCTCCTCTCTGTCTCTCGCCTCGCTCCTCACCCTACCACATCGACAAGTGGCCAGGGAGCCGTGGCGGCAGAGAGTGGATCCTGACGCGAAGGATCGGCGGGAGAGTGGTCGACGTCCAGCCCTTCCCACCCATCAATCACGCCTCAGCCTCCCCCAGCCTCGCAAAACACTCTACTCATGAACAAATGACCCACCTCGAAGAATTACTCTCCCAATGCTACACCTGCAAAAGACCCCTTGTCACCACCAGCACAACCTTTGCTTCAGAGAACGAGGATCAGAACCAGCAAACCCAGGCGCACATCCAGGCTCAAACATGCGAAGTCTGCGCCCTGGTGTCCTTTTGCAGCAACCTCTGCTTCGCCGCTTGCGTCGAGCACCAGCATCTCTGCGTGCCCAAACCTTTTGGTTGAATCTCCGTACTCTGCGTCTTGACCGCCGAGCTCGCTGGTATGTAGGTGCAAAAGGAGTGGATGCGGAAAGGCTTCGTGCTGGTGAGACGGTGGATGAGGATGCGGGAAGCAACATGTAGAGTTGAGAGAGCGAGAAAAGAGAGGTTTTATAGAAATGGGTGTTGGGATCGGAAACGGTCTGAGGGGACGATTGGGACTTTGCACGCTCAGCTCAGCCCCGTTGGGCAGCGATCAGGTCGAGGTACCGGGTGATAAGGTACTGGGCTCCCCCTTCCTCTATGAGTTTTTTTCTCCGGCAGATTATATTCGGCGGAATCTGATGGCGCGCCCTACCCCTGATGGTGTCGGAAAACGCTGAGGATGACGTTCATGGGACTGCATAGAATGAATGGATGAAGATCTTTGGATTAGACCGGGTGGATCTACCATCTAAGCTACATGACTGGATGAATGATGAACGATGAATGACACGGTATCCAAATATGCATCCTCATCCTCAGTCCTTTCCAGGTTCGAGAAAATAGTCCCGTACTGGCTCCGCGATGCCAGAGGCGGTGCTGATAGTACTATATCTGCTCTTCGGCGCCATATAAGTATGTATGTATGGATGTATGTGTGTGTATGTGTATGGGATGATGAGTGAAGTGCATCAGCAATGCAGAAGGAGGGAGGGTAATGATCTCAAGAATGCATGACATGATTGCCTACCCGGTCCATGTATACGTTCGTGTTTTTGTGGATTCTCAGGACTGCCCTTTCTGGTAGGTAGCAGACATGACGATTCGTTGGGGCAGTACATATCAACCTGCGTCTGTATAGGATAGTGAGTAGTTAGTAGTAACTAGCAAAATCGGGTCTTACTTTCTATTTGCTATGTTGCAAATCATGTTCTGGGATGCATGATCCCGCGGTGTATGAAGATCCTTGGTACGAGGCTTTGTCATGTTTGGATCAATCTCTTTGATTTCGGTGAAGGACTACTGTAACTATTTAGTTCAGTTAGTTTCTCGCTGAAGTCGCACATCTGCACATCTGCACATCTTTTCGTATGCACGATCCCATGGTACAGGTTGTTGACACGCTCTCGGTTTGGCACGGTGTTCCTTTGTCCTCAAGGTTCACTTTTCGTGACTTGGCTTCATGACGCCGATGCACCAATTGCTATGCAATATGTACACCAACCTCTCCACCGTCATCATTCCACCCAGCATATCATTTCACCTTTTGCAGCCAGTACATTCGAAGTCATAGCGTCTTGCATGCTCACAGTCTCTTCATTAGACAACCCCCCCCTTTCCACAGACATCGCCGTTATGCAGGGCTAATTCTCCATTCCTGAGCCTGACAAGTCAACTTCCCTTCCTGGATCAAAGTCCACGGATCATAATAAACCTCCAACCCAGGCACCTGACTTTCAGTATCGTACACCCGGAAGATGACAAAGGCCTCTCTTACACCATGACTAGACTTTGACCGAGCAATCTCTTTAGCTTTATCCATCTGCAGGTAGCTCATGAAGAAGGGCTCGTTGAAGTGCTCTTTGGCCGTAGCCTTCACTTCGATATGGTACAACATGTCGCCTTCCCCTGTCTCCCAATATGTGGGGAATTTGACATCGTTGTCGATCATCCACTTCATGAGCTTGCCGGCCTCATCCCTGACAGTGAAGTCGGAGTAGAGGGTATCACGGTCTTCTGGAGCCCAGAGCTTATAGCCATGAACGTGATGTCTCAACTCGGTGGTCCATGAAGACTCATCGATTCCTGACCCTAAGATGTCTCTCAGGATGTTGAAGACGGCTTCTTCGCCACGGACGCCAACTTTCAATTCTTGAGCATGGTCTCGACCTGCAACCATGACTACGGGTCTTTCATGCGTGGAGTGATGCAGCGAGGATTTTCCTTTGGGCCGGATTGCTGGCCTGATCATCCGATTTGGTTTGATCTTTGCTAAGTAGCCGCTTCCGTTCGAAGCATATGTCTGAGGAGCAACATTCTCACGACCACCAATGAGAACCGCCTCGCCAATCTCAGCTTGTCTAGCAGCTTGTTTTAGGTCTCGAGATGTTAGTTCTGGACCAGGTGCTGCGGATGCATATCCTTGGTAAGGCATCTTTGGTGGCCTTGATTGATTCAATATCTCTTTAAGAACAGCTGGCTCTTGGGTTCGGACTTCCTCACTACTGGTTTGCTGCAAGCTTATTGTCGAGCTGGTCTTTGTCTCCGAACGAGCTTCAACCTTGTCGGACGGCCTGCCAAGCTGACTTGCAGCTGAAGTGCAGTTTTGAGCCGTGACATTGATCAGAACGGCATCAAGGTCATTTTCGTTATACCCTCCAATCTTCCGCCTCGACAACATGTCTTCAATCTCCCGATCATCTTCTTCGAAGAGCACATCCGTAATCAAGCTTTTCCACTTTTCATCGCCAATACCGCAGCACTTACAAATCTCTTCGCTTGTGTCTCTTGGTGAAAGCCTTCCATATTTCATGCTCGCTCAGGGTGTCCATTCAAATCAAATTAGTCAAATCAAACAAATCAATTCCTTGGCAAATCATTCAAATCTGTGTCTGAGTCAAATCAATTCAACCTCTGTCGATTTGTCAAATTAGTCAATTTGTATGTGTAGAAGACAATTGGGCCAATTCTGAGCTGAATTGGCCAGTAAATGGTGTATAAATCAATGTAAACGATATAGCTATCTCCATGCTCAATGCTGGTGTTGAGCTAATTGCCTATTTGGGTAGTATGTGTACGTGAGAATAAAAATTCAATTGTTCTCCGCAAATTATAATTCCTATACCAAAGACTGAAGATAAACTTTGACCACGAACTGCTATCCAACAAAGCATTTCTACGTATTCGGACCTAGCTAGCTATATTCAGCATCTCTTATTCTATCTTTGACATTATGGCCAGATCTATAAGATCGTCGTTAAGTCCATTTTCGGAAGCTCCGTCTGACCCAGAGTCCTTCAGACTGGGATCCTCTATCCCCGCAGAACAAAGACTTACTCCAACTCCAAAAAACGCCTTTTCAGCGCTTCAAGCTCAGAATCCTCGAAAGCGACCTCGAAACTATGTTGAGCCTCAAGAAGAGTCCAAACGGGCACGAACCTCACCCATATGGACCTATGGAAAAGAGGTGGTGTTGGAAAACGGGTCTGACGCACGGCGCTTCTGGGAATGTAACGCCTGTCAAGAGCGATTTATTGCTACTTCAACAACTGGTTCACAGAAGCATTTACAAAAGAAGCATGGTATTAAAGTAAACAGCGAAACTCCCTCTTCATTCTCTCTATCTGTTATTGATCAACAACGTCAATTTGCAGAGATTCAGCAACTTCAAAATCTGCCTGCAGTAGTCAACACATCTTTTCAAGATCGCCTTATCAAATAGATTACAGTCTCACATGCCTCTTTTAATATAGTCACTAATGAGCATTTTCGGAGCTTATTCCTTTCTTCTTCGAGCCCTACGAACGAAATCCTGCCCTATCTACCTACTAGCAATACTACATTACGAAATTGGATCTAAAGAGACTTCGAAAAGGCCAAAAACAAGATAAAGAACATGCTGCAGAAGAGTCGAGGAAAGATTCATTTATTCTTCGATATTTGGACCTCCCTTAACGGCTATGCGTTAGTCGGAATCGTCTCACACTTCGTTGATGATGACTACTAAGTCAGAGCTCTCTTACTTGTTATACGTAAGGTCTATAAAGAGCATATAGGCGAGAACGTTGGTCAAACAGTCATTGACGTTATTTGCGAATTCCAGGCCGAATCCGGACTCAGCGCGTTCGTTCTTGATAACGCTGGGAATAACGATACAGCAGTTCGCTACATCCTTAATCAACTCGAATTACACAATACGCACAAAGAAGAGCATTATCAATTACGCTATTTAGGTCATATTATTAATCTTGCGGCACAAGACTTTATATTTGGCCAGAATTCAGAGAAATGACTACGAGAGCATGCTGCTATCGAGGAGAGCGCAGATATCGAAGATTTACAGCGCAGCTGAGTTACATAGGGCGTTATTAGCCATATTCAGAACCTTATTACGCTCATTCGAAGCAGCCTACAGCGCAGGCAAGTATTTCGCAGGGCTACAGGCATAGATCCTGATCCAAATAAGCAGAATTTGATGCTTATTCAGAATAATATAACCCGATGGAATTCTATATATAATATGCTCGTTCGCGCGTTAGAGCTCAAAAATCATATCCAAGTGTACGTTAACAGCTGTCAAGCAAAACGCGATCCAAAGGGCAAAATAGCAGACGAAGCTATTCAAAAGCATCCGCAGCTCACAGAGAATGACTGGATAATGCTCCAGGAGCTCTGCGACGCTTTACAGCCGTTTAACGAAGCTACAAACTTTCTACAGAGCAACAACAAGGGCGCCAAATACGGCTTTTTGTAGGAATGCCTCCCTATGATCGAATGGCTGCTGTTAACGCTCGAAACGCTTAAGGAGGAGAAGGGTATCCAAGATAGAATCGGCCTATCAGCGAACAACGCGTGGAATAAGATACAGAAATACTACACAGTAACTGATCTTTCTCCTTATTACGTCGCTGCTATCGTCCTCAACCCTGCTCATAAATGGAGATATTTCGATATCCACTGGAAGAGCAATAGATACTGGATCTCTGAGGCTAAGAGCAAGATGAGGGCATTATGGAGTAGATACAAGATACAGCATAAGCAAGCAGCTGATGAGGAGCAGTTACTACCTTCTACGACGTTATCCCCCCAAAAAGGCTCATTCAAGAGCTTTCTAGCCTGCGGTCAGTCAACAGACAATGAAGATGAGGCTACTGACGAATATACGGCCTATTGTCAGCTATCTGCGCTCAAATCAACGCCTCAAAATCTCATTACTTGGTGGAAAGAACAAGAGCCCTCATTTCCTCTTCTGGCTACTCTTGCATACACTATCCTTGCTATCCCTGCGATGAGCGCTGAATGCGAACGCGTATTTAGCTCTGCGAAGTTACTTATTACGCCAAATCGCAATAGGTTGAGCCCAGATACGATCGAATGGTCCGAATGCCTCCGAAATTGGTACAACAACAAGGTTATTTGAGATATAGACGACGGTATGTAGCGCCAGTGAGCTCTATTCGAGTGCTAACAGCTAGAATACAGATATATCCTCCTCCTCAGCCTCTTCTCCTCCTCCTGCTCCTCCTCGTCGTCGTTCAAGAAGCCTAAATAGGATATCTACATACAATTTGACTGGTTTGACAAATCAGTCAATTCAAATCAAATCGAGCGTTTCGATTACGTAATCAAATCAAATTAGGCCTCGATTTGACTGATTTGATTTGATGGATACACTGTGCTCGCTGGATGCACAAACAGTTGAATATCATTCGGCATTTCGCGAAGCATCATCTTTCCGGGCATGGTCTCGCCATATAATGTTGTATTACCAATCTGACCCCTCACGACCGAGGTTTTGACAACCATGTTGGGAGAAGTAAAGACCGATATGAGGTTGAGAAGCTGTAATTTTCGCCCGAGATCTTTGCTATGCCTAGCAATCGCGGCTCTTACGATTCTGAGCTAGTAAGCACCTGGGAGAGAGACCCTTGCATTACTTTATGACATACCTTCTTAAGTACTTCACCATCTGCCGCAAGGAGTTTGTGCTACTAACATCAAGAGATAAAGAAGAGCCACGGTCTTTTTCCTCCATAACTGAGACCGAAAGGCGATGGTGCCCTCCCCAGACTCGCTGTATAGCTTGATCAAGAGGTTCGAGACGAGCATATTCTTCGACTCGAAAGTCTGCGAAAGTCACTTTGTTCGAGAAACATTTGTAGTAGCGGTGTTGATCCGCGAAATACCACCACATTTTGTTTAGCGAAACAAGGTTGATTGCTGATGTGCCATATCTGTTGTCGGCCACCGGCATGACAGGTGCATCTTTCAGCACCCCGAGCTTGTGGTAGTCTCCTGGTGACCTCCTAAGGAAGTCACTCAAAGTGAAGATCAAGACTTTGCGACGTTGCATATCGAGAGATGCGTGATCGGTCTTGGTCCACAACTTGTGAATGACCTTGGCAATCGTCGCGCTTGGAATCTTGAGTCGATGGAAAAAGAACGATTGCAACTCTGGATATTGATCGGCTAGAACGATTTCCGCGCCCATTCCAGGGGCAGTTTCCCATGCGCATTGCCTTCGATGGACCCACTGCTTACGCCTAGGCACATAGATGGCAAGGCTATCAAACTTCGCAAAGTGCTCACTATATCATGGTTAGCGAAACTTCCAATGCGGTATCGCCGAACATACTCTACAAGTTTAGGGTTCTCAATCCAATGACTGTCGATGCTTTTGTAAAGCTTAGTCATCTGAGCCTTTGTGACTGGATTCCCTTGCGCCAATGAGAGACACTGGAGATAAAATGCCAGGTTGGGCTCAACGACAACTCCGAACTCTTGGAGCTTCTTCCATTTCGGCTTCAATGGTAGATTTAGCTGAACATAGAAAATACCAGGTGGTGCCACATCCTTGAGGGCGGGTATAGGTAAGCAAGTCCTGTTCAGATGTTTGGTTACCTGCATTCCCTCACAGCCCACATCCATTCCTCCAAGCCTTTGTTTGAGGCCTGGGTTCAACTGATCTGGTTCTCTGGTCCATGATTCCAGCAAGATTTCGAGAACCACAGGCGATGGTTGCGTTGCTCTAATATGCCGAAATTCAGGAGTCAACTCTCCTTTATTTGCAATCTGGAGAGTGGTTCGTATGGAAAGATGGGTTTCGAGCCATTTAATCCACCTTTCCAATTTCTTGCTTTTGTACGCCAACAAATATGCAGGATGTAGCAAGCATGAATACCACGAGGGTCCATCGAGAAGAGAAGTGATCGAATGAGCGGAATCGGGTTTTTCAAGATACATGTTTGCCGCTACGCGTGCTCTTCCGTCTTTGTCCAGTACCCAGAAGTTCTGGCCTCGCGGTGAGAAGACGCCTGTAGAGGTGGCCTCAAACAGGTACGCCGCATGCGAGATGTAAGCGTCCAATGTAAGCTGCGGCGCCTTCGTCGACGCATGACAGTTGATGATCAATCGGCATACCTCTGCTTGATTTAGGTTCTTCACACCAAGTTTCTCAAGCAGCTTGCGCCGTTGTCGCTGCTCAGAGACCGCATGGTCTACAATGAGTAGCTCTGGAACACCCTCAGGAACCTTTCCGGCAACAATCGCTTCTGGAGTTTCGAAGTGTGCTTGACCATCAATTTTTGATATCCAACGTCCTGTCTGTAAAGGAATGATAGCAAGCGACTGCAGATCCGTATTGCTGGCTTGTGTACAGAGTACGTTGGCAACCAAAGAATGCCAGTCAGCGCTTTGATTTCTAAACGCTTGTGTGTGATCAGTCATATAGCTTCTCAGGATGTCGATAAAGTCAGCAAACTTCATGATTTCTACACCCATCATCTTGAGCACGATGTGTTCCTTATCGTGGGTCTCATAACCGGCCGATATGTACTTGTGGCCATCTCCAGCACAATTCAAGATGAAGCGCTCATCATCATCGCGAAAAGCTCGGGGAACAAAGAAAGCTCCAACAGGACGTACGAAAGTGCCAGCTTGAGACTCTAGGATGGGATAAGACCTGAGGCGATCTAGAATCTGGTTTCCAAGAGATGAGAAACTGTTGGCGTCTGAATGGGGCATGTTTTGAAGAAAGCCCGGCCATGTATGGCGGAGAACCAAAGCCTCTGCAGAATTGAAGCGCTTGACTGCTTGAACGAAACATTCCGCCAGCCCGGCAAGTAGATGATCATTCCATTGGCTCGATGTCTCAATATCCTCTCGGTTAGCGATGAGAAGAAAGTCCGCTTGTAGGAGGAACTAGAAAATCCAGATCAGCGTATGGGAGGGGTATTATGTATAGCACTCACTCTGAAGCCAGATTCTCTGATTGGGAGAAATGCGTAGGCCTTTTGCATGTGGAACGCAGGCTTATGCTCAATGAAGGGAAAGGCAAGTACAACTTCTGAGATCTTAATGCCATCTCTCTTCGGCTCATTGGGCATTTCACTTGTGTTGTGTCGCACGACGAAATACTGGAGGGTCTCATCTGCCCTTTTGGTCTTCGTCCACTTTTTCTTGATGGTAATCAGTTCTCCTCCATGTGCATTTGAGTCAATCCTTGTAATCTGGTTGGTGAAATGCTTCATCCAATCTTTGTCGGAGACGATGATCTCGATTTTCTTGAGTTTCCGCAGAAATAGGAGTATTGTACTGTCAAAGACTCGAAGTTGCTTGATCAAATCCTTCTCTGCTTGACAATTCTTCTCTAGGGAGAGCTGTAGGTGGAAATGGGTTTCGCCCGATGCAACCGAGACAGGAAAATCATCCTAGATGGGAGCTATCATGCCTAACCGGGTATTATGGTCGAACTTGAAGGTGTATGCGCTAGACGAGATCTAGACAACATCCGCGATCTTGAATACAGATTTGAAGCCGATACCCTTCTCTCCAATGAACCCTTCTGACCGATTCTTTTTCGTGCTCTTCTTGATGCGACAAATGGCCTCCACGTTGGCAGGAGAAAATCCATTCTCATTGCAAGCAACACGTAAGCATCCCTCGACGGTGTTGAAGGATATTGTAGGTGTCTCAGTGTTGTATGAATTATCGTCAGCATTCTGGATGAGTTCAAGGAGGAAATGGGTAGGCTTTGAATAAAGCTGGTCTGAAAGAACATCCAGAGAATTCTCAAGATCTTCAACATTTGCAGTAGACTCTTGTCCTTCGGGGAGATCGAGACCCTTTCTTCTGCGGATATCTTCAATGTGCCTTTTCGCTGCGTGGCAATCATGCACTTTCTCTACATGACAGCGCTCCAGCCCTTCCTCGCGAAGGCACGCTGTGAAGTCGTTGCTGGTTGTATGTTCGGATAGCCCAAGCTCAGCAGAATCATCGGAAAGCTTGTGCTGAGATTCCATGGATGACCAGTCGTTGGCGCTGACTGTCTATCTGCTAGCTTTATCAGTGAGATGAGAGCTCCGTCAGAAAAAAAGAGAGGATGAGCTGAGTAGAACCTAGTCGACGAGTACGACGCGGACTTACCTTCCACTGTCACTTCAATGGTTGAGCCAATACAGTCTATAGCACTTGAGGATGATGTTATGAAGCTGCATAGTGGGGAATTTGGGGTATGTGTGTGAAAAGAGAAGACTAGACCGTTGATGGGTATGAGGATTTCTCATAGACAAATTTTGAAGGGCAGGTCAAAATATTCGGTGTTTGAAAAGCACTGCATTTGGACTCAGGCATCCACGCAAAGCATTATAGACAAGTGTTGAACACCGCATCAAGGTGGATAAAATGGCTCCTTGCCTTCTTGCCACGAAAGGTTTATAGGTTGGTTTATCACCTCAAGAGATTTGGGGACAGATTTACCAATGGCAGAGCATTGCCTGATGCTGCGTCCATCTATACACAAACCTGATCATAGCATTAATTTTGGGCGTGAGCATAGCCATGGTATGCTAGTATCTACGAGTTGTTGAGCCGGCTGCATTTGACGTAGGCAAGGAGGACAGAGCAAAGCCAGCCAATTCAACAGCCGCGAACATTCCGTGATGAAGAAGCCGAAAGGGATGCAGTGAAGGGGGATGTAGGCGTGCCTGATACGGGCGGCAAAGACAGCTTGGGGACACTGCCTGCAATTGTGGATCCTCCGCTTGGAATAACTAAGTTAGCGTTCTTTATCCAGGCACAGCCGAGGCTTGAACTTGAACCACCAACCTCGAAGCTTGGCAGAGGGAAGGTATTGACGTAGAGCAAGTGTGGCTTGTTTGTTGTGCATGAGACCATGCCAAACTCGTCACCAGATAGTCACTCTGTCTCTTCCACATTGTGTAGGCGTGTTACCCAGCTCAGTCTCATTTGATTCCATCTGATTTACTCATTATTGTTCCTCCACTCCCTTGACGGTGTTGCGGTTCCGTTGCAGCTAACCAGCAGTGGCAATCCCGGTTACTACGCATAATCTCTCATGACCGCATTGCAGTCGAACAGCTTCCGCTGAGGCTGCGCCTCTGTTATCCTTTTCCAGGTCATCAGCATCACACGAGTTTGCTACTCCGTTCTTTAAATTTAGCTAGGAACTTCCATCATGCGTATCATTTCGCTCGCCACATGCCTGACCACAGCTATCCTTCTGCCCGCTGTTTCCACCGAGCTATTGACCCCAAAGCATGAGGCAGGACGGTGTGCCATCCGAGGTCATTGCGGTAAAACTGGCTTCTTCGGTCGCGAACTCCCCTGCCTGGATAACGGGGAAGCAAAAGAGGCAGATTCAGCGCTGAAGGAAAAGCTGGTTGATCTCTGCGGCAAAAAGTGGGAGCATACGCCGGTCTGCTGTGAAGAGGAACAGGTCGATGCGTTGAAGAAGAACTTGGAATTAGCTCAGGGAATAATAGCATCTTGTCCAGCCTGCAAGGAGAATTTCTTTAACCTATTTTGCACATTTACTTGCTCCCCGGACCAGTCGCTATTCGTCAACGTTACGCGAACGGCTCAGTCAACGAGTAGGAAAACAGTGGTCAAGGAACTCGATAACATATGGGATGAGGAATACCAGAGCGGTTTTTACGAGAGCTGCAAGAATGTCAAGAACGGAGCTTCGGGCGGCAAGGCGATCGACTTCATCGGCGGTGGCGCAAAGAACTATACACAGTTCCTCAAATTTCTGGGTGATGAAAAGTTATTTGGAAGTCCATTCCAGATAGATTTCTTGACTGAACCCAGACATAACTCAAATATGAAGCCGGCACCTGCAACTGCTCGAGCATGCAACGACACTGATAAAGCCTACAGATGTACCTGTATCGACTGTCCTCAAACTTGCGCCGAGCTGGAAGAGGTACATGATCATGAATACTGCAAAGTCGGCAAACTGCCTTGTCTCTCTTTTGCTGTCATCATTATCTACAGCGTCAGCTTACTGCTGCTCGTCACAGCAGTCTCTGGTCATGTTGCTTACCGAAAGCATAAGCAGAGGAAGACTGAGAGATTACAACTTCTCCAAGATGCTGCCCCAAGCGACGACGAAGACGAAGGTGATATGGTCCAAAATGCAGGCATGCTTGATCGGCCTCAGAGGAATTATTATCTGAACCAAATCTTCGATCACGCTTTCAGCCGAATTGGCGGCTTCTGCGCTCGATATCCCGCTGTTACCATTGGAACCAACATCCTGATAGTAGCGCTGCTCAGCTTGGGCTGTCTCAGGTTTGAGGTCGAGCGAGATCCTGTTCGTCTGTGGGTCAGCCCGACCTCGGCTGCAGCAGAAGAGAAGGCGTTCTTTGATCAAAATTTTGGCCCCTTCATGCGCGCTGAACAGGCCTTCCTTGTCAATGATACCACAAGTGCGGGTCCCAGTCCTGTGCTAAGCTTCGACACGCTTCAGTGGTGGTTTGATATTGAAAGGCAGATTTCGCGAATGAAGTCAGCCAAATACAACCTGACGCTAGATGACGTTTGTTTTAGGCCGACAGGCAACGCTTGCGTTGTCCAGTCTGTCAAAGCATACTTTAATGACGGCCGAGATCTTGATGAGAAGACCTGGCAGGAAAGGCTCGAGCAATGTGCAGACACCCCTGGTGATCGACTTTGCTTGCCTGGCTTCAAGGCTCCTGTGCGTCCTGACTTGGTACTCGGAGGCTTCAGTGGTATCGAGAACATCACCAAAGCTGAGGCTATAGTCGTAACCTGGGTGGTCAACAATCATCAGCAAGGCAGCAAGGCAGAACTTGAAGCCCAAGACTGGGAAATAAGTTTCAAGAACCACATGCTTGTATTCCAGCAGGAAGCCGAAGAACGAGGCCTGAGGCTCTCATTCAATACTGAAATAAGTCTAGAAGAAGAACTCAACAAGAATACGAATACTGATGTGAAGATTGTGGTCATTAGCTATGTGGTCATGTTCATTTATGCATCGTTAGCTCTTGGAACTGGCACAATCACCTTCAAGTCACTCCTGAACAAACCCTCGGCAGCCCTTGTGCAGTCCAAGTCCTCTCTTGGCGTCGTTGGCATACTGATTGTGCTGATGTCGGTTCTGGCATCGGTTGGATTTTTTTCGGCTATTGGCATCAAAGTGACTTTGATCATCGCTGAAGTCATCCCATTCCTGGTATTAGCGGTTGGCGTCGACAATATCTTCTTGATTGTCCACGAATTTGAACGGGTAAACGTTAGCCATCCAGATGAAGAGATAGACGAGCGAATTGCCAAAGCACTTGGACGAATGGGGCCAAGTATTCTCCTTTCTGCCTCAACTGAAACTGTGGCGTTCGCGATGGGTGCATTTGTGGGCATGCCGGCGGTCAAAAACTTCGCTGCATATGCTGCAGGTGCTGTATTCGTGAATGCCGTGTTGCAAGTTACAATGTTTGTTTCAGTTCTTGCTCTGAGCCAAAGGAGGGTTGAGAGCCTCCGTGCAGATTGCTTCCCTTGCATTACTGTGCCAAAAGCTAACTCTGGAGTTTACGGAGGTCAGTATTCTGGCAGCCAGGAAGAAGGCCCACTGCAACGATTCGTTAGAAAGACGTATGCTCCCACACTTCTAAACAAGAAGGTGAAGACGATCGTTGTCGCTGTCTTTGGTACGCTATTCGCAGCTGGGATCGCGTTGATCCCTGAAGTTGAGCTTGGCCTCGATCAGCGCTACGCCGTCCCTAGCAATTCTTATCTCGTCCCATTCTTCAATGATCTTTATAACTATTTTGGCACTGGTCCACCTGTCTACTTTGTCACCAGAGGTCTCAATGCTACCGCTCGTACACATCAGCGACAGCTCTGCGGCGCTTTCTCAACCTGTGACGAGTATTCGCTTGAATACATTCTGGCCCAAGAATCAAAGCGTCCTGAAGTATCATACATTGGCGAGACTACAGCTAGTTGGATCGATGACTTCTTCAATTGGCTTAACCCGAACTTGTCCGACTGCTGCAAAGAAGATGGCAAAGCCTGCTTTGAGGACCGATCTCCACCATGGAATATCACGCTGTCCGGAATGCCAGAGGGTGAAGAATTCATTCACTATGTTTCTAAATGGATCGACTCACCCACAACCGAGGATTGTCCTAATGGTGGTCAGGCAGCTTACTCCAATGCCGTAGTTATCGACAAGAATCACACCACAATCCCAGCCTCTCATTTCCGCACGTCCCATACGCCACTCCGCAACCAACACGACTTCATCGCCTCTTATGCCGCAGCCCGCCGAATATCAGAATCGATCTCCGAAAGACACAACATCGACGTCTTCCCTTACAGCAAATTCTACATCTTCTTCGACCAATACGCCAGTATCGTACGATTGACTACCACGTTACTGGTTAGCGCAGTTGTAATTATCTTCCTTCTATCATCGCTGCTTCTCGGCTCGCTCTTTACAGGCTTAGTAGTCTGCCTTACGGTCATTATGATTGTGATTGACATCATTGGCGTTATGGCCATTTTCCACGTTTCGCTCAATGCCATATCTCTCGTCAACCTTGTCATATGTGTGGGCATTGGCGTTGAATTCTGCGCGCACATTGCCCGTGCATTCATGTTCCCCTCCAAGCCCGTCATGGAGAAAGCGCGGAACAAATTCCGGGGCAGAGACGCAAGAGCCTGGACAGCATTGGTCAATGTGGGCGGCAGCGTCTTCAGCGGAATCACCATCACGAAGCTCCTTGGAGTGTGTGTGCTTGCATTTACCCGAAGCAAGATCTTCGAAATCTACTACTTCAGGATCTGGTTGGCGCTGGTGATCTTCGCTGCTAGTCATGCTCTGGTGTTTTTGCCTGTGGCTTTGAGTTTTGCTGGTGGAGATGGTAAGTCGAGACCAAGTGGTGAGTTTGGATATCTTGCTGACCCAACACAATAGGCTACGTTGATCCAGAGTCTGAAGGCGGTCTTGAGGAAGACCTCGCAACCAGGAGGTACCGTGCACTCCTGCCAGACGATGACTATGATTCCGACGAGGACTAGAGATGCTCAGGAGATAGCGCATAGAACATTGTAAAACATCTCCAAATCTCTAATTCTATACATGCTTGGTCTTGCGCAGTGCTGCCTCTGTAGACTGTATCTGGGGTCGTGACCTTGAAATACGTGTGACGATATGTAAAACAAAGCCTATACTGCTCTCTCCGAAACTTGCACATTATGTGATACACGGCTTGCATATCTGACAACCTGGAGCATGCATTCGGATGACCTAGATCGGTGGTGGACCATTGAACGAGGTGAGTGGGAGATTCGTCAGCTGCTACAGTGTGTTGAAAAGTGCAGGACAAAAGGCATGGAGGCAAGAAAGTGCATGCATGCTGCAGCGCAATTCTTAAACATCTGTCACAAGATTCAATGGCTGCAATACAAATGTGTCTATGTCTCAAAACTTTGATATCAATACACTCTTCACGGAGGATTTGCGCCATCACTTTTTGGGGTCACAAAATCATCTTGCTCTTGGATATTTATCAGGCACACAATCCCCTAACTTAGAGCAGAAGCGCCTACATACGTACCTAACATTAAAATTTTACTCTGATGAGCAAGCTTTAGTCAGTTGTGGGATCCAACTAAGGGCCAGTCATCTAAACTCCACGACTTCTCTTGCAAATATCACCAGTTTTTCGTCTAACTCACGTCTGCATCGTTCCGCAAGGCATACCATGAAGCGAGCAATTACTTCTGTCTTTCATGGTGCATTGGATAAGAAGCATAAGGTGTTCGAGAAGAATAGCATCCTCCATCCCACAGGCTACGGAGAGTGCGCACTGGCGCTTGGGGAAGAAGTAAGCAGTTTGGGCTCGTGGTGTTTCTCCTCATGAGGTAGTCTTCATGCATGTACAGAGTTTCCGGTGAGGATTTGGGATGGCATTCGGTAACTTGAGCCAATGCTTGTAAGAAGGACCATATAATCTGGATGATGACTGAAGTACATTGGTCTCCGGTCTAAGCATGAGCTGCTGACAGAGTGGGCGATCGCATTTCTAAACCGACTTGGTAGGTTGGCTGCTAGAATAGCCACTTCGTCCAATGCATGAGGAGCAGTAAATACCATAGAGAAGAGTGAGGTGCGGGCTTCGATGATGCTAAACCCAACAAGTATCCAGGCACAAACAAAAGGATCAAGCCCACTTTCGCAACTCTGAACCAAATGTGCAGATTGGAAATCGATCGCCGTAACAATGTAACCAACAGAGTTGTTTCCATTAGCGAGCCCAGCATATCGGGATCTTTATTAGACAGCTCATCTGCCCAGCGAGAGATCACCATCCATCACTCGAGTGTCATGCTAGACAGATGTCAGCTGAAGGCCAGAAGACGCAATGATGTAAAGCTCACCCTCAGTATTAGTGAATTACGCATTATATATGAATCCTCGATATCCACAAACACGACACTGCAAGTTTTTCTTGGTCTCGCTCTGGCATTGCCGCTTGTCGCAGCCACTTTGTCGGCAGATGCAACATCCATCAAGGACGAAGACATCGTCCTCATGACACTTGCCGCATTTTTAATCATGTAGACGGACGGGTCGCATTCGCAGGTCTTGGTTGAACTCCAGACACTTCAGAGCCATCGCGTTATAGGCGTCTGGGTCGAAAGTCTTGGTTTAGTTCTGATTGATTTGGATGAGAACTAGCAATGGGTCGCGCAGGTCTCGGTCTTCCCCGGGCACGGCGTTGTATACCATTGGAATCAGGTCACTTCTGAAGATCGTGTCTGAGACATGTTCTTTGGAAAATTCGACTTCGTCGGCATACTTCATCAACGTTTCGCAGTAGTAGCCTCGGACTAATTCTTTGAGACCAACGAGCAAAGTATTTGTCGGCCAACCTGTACACCCTGACATACAGCTTCACCTCATGAAATAAGTCACAAGCCGCGTAAAGATCTTCAAGAGAGACGAATTGCCCCTTGGCAAGGATGTTGTCATCATCCTGAAGGTTGGTTCTCGGTATGTCCCCAGTGTATAGATATATGAGCAGGCGCGCGAGCAAGGCAGGCTCGTCATGGTCCATGGAGATGTAGTCTTGACAAGCCTCCTATTGAAATTAGCCTGGCAAGACACGGATTAACTGAACTGGTAAAATACCTTGAACTCGCCTTCTAGAGCGTGTTGGAAATATCTAGACTGCCCCCAGAGTATAACTCTGTGTACAGCCCACTCGTAATCACCACACTCGACTATGTAGTCGGAGAATCTTCCGGCTTCCAGCAAACTATACTTTGTCAAAGCATTTCCAGCAAGCATACTCAATAGCACTTACTGGCCATAGGACTTAGCGGAGTCATGGATTTCATGAGAGACAGCCATCTCGTGGCCATTGTTGGATTAGACAAGGGAGAAGGAATCTTGTCATTGAGGACTTATGCGTAGAAACAAAGATCAGCCGCAGGTAAGGTTCGAGAGTCCTAGAGTAGTATTAAAGGTAAACTTGTCGAGTAGATCATGTCTGTTGCTAGATGGTGAAGATAGACGTTGAAGTGCCAGCGGAACAATTGTGTCCGCTCTCAGTCGGAAGTGTTTACGAGAGACACGTAATATTGCTGCTGACACATTCTTCTTTATCCAAAGCAACCTATCTTGCCATTATACATTTCTACGGGGATAATGAATGCTAAAGCAAGAATAGAAGGCAGTCCAGACATATGAAGGATATCGATGTCTTACTACGAATCCACTGCAGCAATAGCTTCCACAACACCCTTTCCACCTTCAAGAGAGGCAAATACATTGGTCGTACGCTGTGAAGAGTCCAAAGAGGTTTCTATCCTTCTAAGTATCCTTGCTGGGTTCCCCACCGCAACATGGAAGGGCGGAATGTCCTGATTAGGTAGGTCAGCATACTCTCATGTAAATGCACCCACAGGTGTTTCTGGATCTGGAAAGCTGACTTTGTTTACCACACTCCCCGCCCCGACCGTCGAGCCCTTCCCCACCCTTACACCGGGGCAGAGGATGACATTACCACCCAGCCAGCAATCCTCTTCAATATGAACCTCTTTGCCAAGTTCTGGTCCTGCTGTGCCGTTCCTTAAAGCAGGGTCTAGCGGATGTGTGCCCGAATAGATGCTGCAGTTCGGGCCAACAAGAGTTCGAGCACCAATAGTCACCAAGCAGGTATCTACTATTACCATATTGTAATTGAGGAAAACGCCTTTTCCTAAGCGAACATTCGTTCCATAATCGACACGAATTGGAGGCTCGATCCATGGATAATCTTTGAGAAGTTCATCATCTTCTTCGGGATCAGGCAAATGGTCTGCCAGTGGAGCGTCATCGATGCCGTTGATACTGTGAGAAGCATTTTTTAAGAATGAAATTGTGGCCTGGGAAATCTTTGCCATGATCAAGCACAAGCAAAGAGCAAAGAGCAAAGAGCATAGCGAATTTGGAAGATCAGTCACTTACTCTCTCCATAACTCTACCAAGCGTCGTCGACTGACTTCTCCAGCATTGTTAAACCGGTCACATGCATATTTGCAGCGGCGTCTTGCTGCTACAAGGTCAGGAACGAAAGCATGAAATAGTTCCCCACGTAGAGCTTTTTCTGCCTCTGTGGATGACATAGCTGTGTAGTCAAAGTGACAGTGGGCTAGGCTTTGGTTTGGGTACCGGTTAGAGTATCTGGTTTGTATGACTGGTTGTGGAGTCTGTATAAATATCGAGCTTAGCGCCAAGTGCGTAGCTGATTACGGCAGCATGATTGGTTGGCCCCACATCCAAAATTTTGAATTTCAAAATCACAAATCACTACCTCAGAGGGCCATTCAAGTCTGTTCTCACAGCATAGTGACAACCTTCTTATGAATTATAGTTGTACGATGTCACAGAAGACATAAAGAGTTAAGCTTAGATGAGTATGATGAGGAATATTTAAGAGGATATAGTACAAGACTGCCTAACGAGGCTGTTTTAAAAGGGTATCTCAGGAGGATGTCCTACACAATGCCCTAGAAGGCTACCCTGGGAGGCTGCCTTAGAAGAGTATCCCAGGAAGATGCCTTAAAGGGTGCTTCAGAAGGCTGTTCTAAGAGGCTGCCTTAGGAGACTTCCATAGAAGTATATCTTAAGAAAATGCCCCAAAGGATACCCTGAAAGGCTGCTCTAAGAGGCGGTCTATCCCCTCCGTGCCCGAACAGGGGTGTAGAATGCCTCAATTAGCGTCGTCGATCTCCTTATTTCGATGTTGCTACAACTTTTGCTTGCTCGAACGCCTTTGATAGATATTCGGGAATAAGTGTCTTCAAGAGCAAAGCTTTAACTCACTTGTCAAATGATTTGTCTGATAATATATTCATTGAATGCTGGTTAGACGATGTCCTGTGAGCGACCTTATTTGAGCTTAAATTTCACCAAACGCGCTAATTGAGGCATCGGGCACGGAGGGGATAGGGTTTTCCTAGGAAGCTGCCCCAGAATGATGTTCTAAAATATACTCTTAAGTGTTATTATTTATCATAAGAAGTTGTTGCAGAGTTCTTGTAGTAATAATCTCATAATAAAAATGCTGTTGTGATATTTGACTGTGATTGCATAGCCATCCTCCGTACTACATTGCAGAATCTGATTTTGAAGTTCTAAAATTTTGATGCGGCGCCAACACATTAATGGTCCGCCGTAGTTGATAGCCCTGGGATTCCGCGCGTTTAATTGCCGCAAGGCTTAGTATTGTTCTTTAGTTCCCTTCTAGCCAACACGGGGACTCCGGTCCAGCGTCGGATGCTCAAGATATCTTCTCATGACGCTCAATCTCGAAAGCCACTCGACCTGCTCTTCTGCCTGTTTGGTAATGCCGGTAATGCTTAACTTGATTACACCATGTCCAACTCGGATCGCGACTCAGCTCATGCTTCAGACATTAGTTGGCCTTTAGAGCGGACAGAGAATCAACAGAATGGCGGACCACGAACTAGCACCCCTGCTCTACCATCGCTGGACCCAAGCTTCACGGTGGGGGGGCCGAAAGCGTTGAGTAGTATATCGAGTCGAGCATTCTTTCTTGGAGTTGCTTTCGGAATCATGAGCATCATAGCGGTGGAGCTGGCTTATTTGGGGACGCCTTTCTGGAGGGCACCTTGTTTCATTGCAACATTGTCAATATTTCACTTCCTTGAGTTCTACACCACTGCCCGCTACAACCCTGCTGACGCCAAGTTGTCATCCTTCCTGCTTTCATCAAACGGGTCAGCATACAATATCGCTCATACCTCGGCATTAATCGAATTTTCTACAAGACAGTGGCTACTATCCAACCGAAGACTGCCGTGGTTGAAGATGCCCTTCCAGTTGCCAACGTTTCTCCCGGCTCTTCCGCCAGAGTGGTATCTTGTCCTTGGATTTATGCTGGTAGCTGTTGGGCAAGGTGTCAGAACTGCCGCAATGGTAGAGGCAGGAAAGAGCTTCAACCACATTGTTCAGTCACGAAAGAGGGATGACCATGTCTTAATCAAGAGTGGAATCTACCGCATCTTGAGGCACCCATCGTATTTCGGATTCTTCTGGTGGGGGCTGGGAACGCAAGTCTTGCTGGGTAACCACATCTGCTTTTGGGCATATACTGCAATTCTATGGAAATTCTTTGCATCTAGGATCATGAAGGAGGAGAAGTTCCTTGTCAAGTTCTTTGGTCAAGATTATGTCCAGTATCGGGAGCGCACACCTGTGCTTATTCCTTTCATCAGGTAAGAGCAAATTGCGCTATGTTTGCTATGCCCGACAGACCAACGAGCTTGTTCCCGGGACTTGCAGTAGTTTGCCTCAAGGAGATTCTGATGCAAGTTCTGAATGTGGCCGTTATGAGCACAGCATGGCTGACAGCAAAGACCGACCTACCATGTACGTCAAACATTTGTGGCGGAGGTGGTGGGATAAGTGTGTGTGGGTTTGCTCAAAATGTGAGAGGTACCTATCAGAGCAGATTTGCTAGCCAGCTCCATACCCATCGGAGGAGGACGCATTGCATCGTCTCATATGCAGGTATACCGGATGGTTTTGATCAACAGTGGCACATTTATTGTCAACTATGCTGTCTAGCAAAGAACCTTAAATCTGGACCGTCCATTCAAGACTCCGCCGCAGGGAATGTCGAGAGACACCTACCATAGATTGCGTCTGAGGATTTTTACGGATTTCAGGCCTCTATCCGTGGACGCTCCTCATCTCTATTCTGAAAGTGACGTGTTGGTCTTGATACTGACCGGCTTATACTTTACTCGAACATCTGGTCTGAGCCAGGGCATATCCACCGGAGATATCTTGTTCATGGTCATCTCAATCAATGCTCTTCCTCCTGGCGTGTCCTGCCGCAAACCCACTAAGCCAACACGTGGCTGAAAGAGCGCTTCTGCTAATCGCTTCTCTGCTTCTTTGGGAAGAGAAACTAGTCGAATTGGTGGACATGAGGAATTGCGCGCCGAAGCAGCAGCAACAGTTGTTGGAATTGAGATTGTGAGCATTTCTGGAAGTGTAGAGGTACAAACGAAAACAGCAGCCATGTTCTTTGTCTGATCCGATTGTCCTTCCTGGCTTACAGCTGGGGTAGGCTTTGATGTGGGCTGGGCAACATCTTGGAGACTGCGGATCGTACTATTGAAGCCCACTGTGATATACTGAGCTACTTCTGGCATAGGGGGCATAGAAAGCACAGAGATAGCAGCTTTGTCCACAGTATCATTCTCCTCCCTTTGTCTTCGTCGCTTGGATCGTTTTCCTTGCGATCGGTAAATGTGATTTCGGCGATGTTCTCCCAGGGGGGCCAGTAAGTCGCATAGTAGTTCCAGCATCATCTGTTGATCGGTACTGGCAATCACTGGCCTGTAAGGTTCTCGTTAGGTGCCTTAATGCCCTGAAGAGTGGGTAAGGTGCAACTACGCACCATGGTGGGGCGGGGTAAGGATTGTCTGTGCTGTGTATGGTTTTGGTCCTTTTCTTTTCCCTATCCATCTTCCTTCACCTTGTGTTTGTCACGGTCCGAAGTTGATGGGGGGGGACTGAACACTGGTAGATTGTGGTGAGGAGCAGGAAGCGCGTCGCGTCCGAATGATTGTTAGCTGTATGATGGACGTGGCGACCCCAGTTCAACAGCTCCCCATGCGCAACAGATATTGCTTGGCGTTTTGGGTCTCAGGGCATAGGTAGTATTTCTCTCGTTCAAACATTACTGACATTACTTTCGATATGGAACTGATCGAAACACTGTTTATCAGTATTATGTAAACAGGCGTTGTTTGACTCTGGCCATTCGACCAGTCTCTATGTTAGTTTGAAGATTTAATAGAGACGGAAATATCGGCTCTAAAATTGTTGCGGATGGGGATTTGTTGCACATGCGGGGCGGCCACATTAGCGCTGTTTGTCTTCGGCTTAATCGTATCGATATGGTGGCAGCCTAAGCTTTGATGACTACTCAACTTACTGCTGGGAGTAACCCTTGCTAAGGCTGACAACAGCAATAGATGCTTTCATTCCTCACTTCTCATAAGCTTTGCATCTATCTAGTTCGGAGCCTGTTTGCTGCAGCTCATTGTTGACATCGACCACATGCAGTGTTGCTCGGCATTTGCATGAAAGTATTAGGGTTATGATTCCACTGAATCGGACATCGTTAGCCCAGATTGCCTCTTCTCTATGAACAATTCCACGGACCCTACAAGCACGTCAGCAGTCTCAGACACCGGCTACATTTCATTTGTGTAAAGGCGCATACCACCTCAGTTGGTGCACAAGGAGTGTTTGATCGCGCTTGGGAGCACTATTGGTGTTATGCTTGCTTGCTTCTAAGCCTTCATCCACCCAAATGTCACATCCTCAGAAATCTGACACCCATGATGTGTCCGACAGACTCAGCCCATCAAGCTCATAGTTCAATGACGGAATCATCAAGAACCCGGAGTGATTCTCTGGAGGCGTCAAGCTCACAACAAGAGAGGAAGCGTCCGCGGCTAGACTCTGGCCACGACGACAGCCTTCGATCAGAGGAAGCCTTGACAGACTCTGATTTTCCAGAAACTGCCCAGGCACTAGATTCACCCGTCAAGGAAGTGACTGGTGGTGCTTGCCCCACGAACTCATCGTCTCCTTCCCCTTCCACCATGGAGCCTTCCTCGAACGGACCTCTGAGTAAGGTCACTATCAACACTCGCTCCGCTGCAAACAATGCCAGTGATGGGGCAAACAGCTCCATCGATCAGTTGGAAGGCACCTCAACTGGACAAAAATCACCTATTGCAACTAGCACTACCCCTGTGGAATCAGTAAGCAGCCCCAATATGGGCGGGTTACCTCCTGAAACCATAACTATCCATTCTTCGCCAAGCCAAAGTCCAGAAATTCAGATTGCGGTCGTCGAAGATATCGATCAAGACCCGGCAGAGACAAATTGGACCCCTGTTACGAGACTCAACAATAGTGTCCTCCTTCATCAACAGGCCACTCCTCACTATGTTAGCAGAACGTTTCCATATGCACAACGGACGCCCGCAGGCTACACACACGAAGTTCTCACCGAGATGGGCAGGACTTTTGTACAAGGTTCGCTCGTGATGCTGATCAACAGGCTGTATACTGACCTTGTGCTTAGGTGGGGAGAGAGATGGGCTCATCTTCATTGAGTTTAAGGACTGGCTGCTCAACTTTCTTGAAGCCTATCCACAGATTACCCAGAGATTAGTGTATGAGGAGAAGGCCTTTTGGGAAGAACTCCCCGACGCTGTGAATTGTCTTTTGCGACGATTGTATGTCGCCCTCTGGATGTGTACAATATATCATTATCCGCTGACTGGGACTAGGGTTGACGTTCCTCCCGAAGCACGCATTGCTGACCTGGAGGAATTCTTTGTCGCGTATGGTCAGCTCACAATCCGATTTCTAGAACTCGACATCCAGTTGATGAATCACTGCCTTGCTTCTGGTACAACCGAAAAGATTTCGGAACTCTCCTCTAGGCACTACCTGCCTACCCTAGCTCTAGCTCTACAGTACAGAGAAGTCCCGTTCTACACGTCGCTCCACACGAATCGTGGTTTCAACATTACTGAACTTGTCTCCACAATATGCGACCGGTTGTCCAGCGGCTCGGACGGCCTCCTGCCTATGTTGACCGTGTTCGTTGATAGGCTTGGCCAGGTATTGCCTAGGAAACCCGGATTTACCACTGTCTTCGTCCAGGCTCTGGCGGTGGCCAATGCACTGGCTCGATCTGGCACAGAGCGCGTGTTGTTGCAAGGCGGAGAGCGGTCAGCTCGCTCACCCGTGATTGAAAAGATCAACCAGCAGGTGCTTCTATTTTGTACTAAAGCGGATGAGCTTTTGCAAAGCGCCATCTCAAAACAGTCTCCATGGTTGACAATAGAAAATAGTCCCGATATCTTGCGTTTCCTGTCACGGGCGTTTCATGCTGTATCGGAACAAGATTCCGATATTGCCACCCAGCTGATAACCTATGCCTGTGACCGACACCCTGAGGCCGGGCAGAAAGAGCTGCCCGAGATCATTGCCTACGCTTGGAAGTTCAGGACCTTACGCAAGTACATCACCGCCGGACGCATGGAACTGAGAGTATATGGCATGGACTCGATGCAGGTCGATCTGGTCCAGGTTTGGAAGTGCTATACACAATACAATCCCAACAGTCTTAGCGTACCGCTGGTTAGATACCTGGTCCAGTTCCTTCGGGACACGAGAATGGTCCAGTATATTGTCGGCATCGACTCTCATCCTCAACTCATCACCCGAAGCCCCAACGTTGTTGGATTTCTTGTGGTGACGGGAACCTATTGCGACGAGGACTCCGATATTATTTGGCGCACCGTTGAGGAAAGTCAGGATCCGAGAACTGTCTCGGAGGTTCTCAATATGCTGAGAGGCATCTTTCATATGCAGAGCCTTCCCACACTGATTTATCTTTGCCACAAACTGCTGCAGTTACCAGTCGAGCGATATGACACGAAAATGATTGAATACGCAGGTGCTCTACTACACCACATCCGTGAGAATGCTCTCTCTCGAGCTCAGCAAGAAGAGCATCTTGAGGCAGTCCCTTTCAAGGTCTGTGTGAGGCTGATTAGGGATGTCATCGCATCGAAGGCCTGTTCGCCTGATCAGAAACGCAATCTGCAGAGCTGGGCTGCGGACAATTTAGTCCGCTTGCTTGCCTTCAATATTGACATCGAAGATAAACGACGTCTCTGGGAGCAATGCGTTCGAGACATCGCGCAGAGGACTCAATTCGCGATGGGGAGCATGCGAGCGCTTCAGGCTTGGCTTGAGGTTCGTCCGGACGTCGAAGTCCCTAAACTGACCAGTGATTTTGACTTCACACGGTTGCTCATTGAGGAGCTAGTGGGTTGTTTTGCTCAAAGCCAAGCTGAAGATTCGACGAGCACCTTCTTGCAGATACTCCTGCCCACCCAGCTATACCTACTGGCTCTCGTTGCGCAATATGCACCCGATACTATCACTGAAGAATTGACGGAGAAGCTGTGGTGTGACGTCTTAGCATCCCGGACAGTCGATAGTAATCTAAGAGATATGGCATGGGATGTCTTCAGCAAGGCGGCGACGTGCTGTCCTAAGCCAAATTCTATCATCGAGAGATTAATGACGGATTACCTACCACGAATGGATGCATCAAGCCTTAATGAGAGACTTCTGCATTTTGCGGAAAATTCTGTGTTATATGAATTGCAGATGAATCGGCCACGAGAGCAGCAAGATCAAAACGTCGTTTCGCTACCTGGGATCAATCGCGTCTGGCGCTTTGTCATGGAAAGTCCCACGGAAAGCGTGGTAAATGAAGCCACGAACTGGGTCATCAAGCAATACTTGGATCACGATGTTGTGCTGCGATGTCCACGTCGAGTTGTGGAGGCTACACATCTGTCTTTACTGGAGCGTTGTCTTTCCGAAGTATTCTCTGCTGCTTCGAAGCTGAAGTCATATAGCGACGGAACTACTAGTGGAGAGGACGAGCCCATGGTTGTGGTCGCTCCTGAAGAAGAGGTCCGAGCCGAAGAACTACGTTTCATCCGCTCCCTTCTTTTCATGCGGCAATTCCTTCTAGGCGTCAAGTGTCGACCTCGGTACAGCCCGCCACTTTCTATTCAATCGCGACTACCTAAAAAGCCCTTTGAAGATCGGGGCGAAGAGGTTACAATAAAATATGAGGTCGGCTCAATTCCTGGGCGCAGTACCTCATCTGTGCAGAAGAAGCTTGTGATTGGCGACCAGAACACAGTTGATGAGCTAGCGATTTATCTCAGCGACTTGACCGGGTTCAGTGAATTCACTGGAGTCTCTCGTGGCCAGATAATAAGTTTGAGGGGTAATCAGACCACCATTAAAGACTCGATGGTCAGTGTTGGCCTCCTATTGGTCCAAAAAGTACCAGACACGCCAGAAAAACTACCGGCGTCGAGCAATCCCTCGACCTCATCCATGGATGCTCACGTCATGGACTATTTCGACAAGTTCTACGATCTCCTCGATTTAGAAGACCATCTGTCAAGAGAAGTGTATGCTTTTCTGGAACTATTTCCTCCACAGCCACGCATCATAGAAATCGTCAGAGCGAGAACGGCTTCTGTCCCGCAGTTACTGCCTATAGGAAAGCCGTACAAGCTGCTATACGGTTTGAACGCCTTGCGTGTCTGTGTCGAGGATGAAGCGCTCGGAACGGCGCCTGATGAAGACTTCCTAACTTTCGCGACCGGCTCGATTATCTCTGTTCTGAAACGGCCCGACATGAAAGACCCCAACAAAATGCAGCGACTTCAAGTAAATCATGCCTTAATCGATTGCTTGCTACTAGCTTTACGGGCTCGCGTGTCCACTACGACCTCGCAAGCATATTTCTCCAATGCCACCGGCTTGTCTAACTACCTTGTCGACTTGATCTTCGAGGCTGTAGATACTTGCCACATTGAATCGTCGAGTGTCCCAGTTCAGACGCTCGTCCGACAGCCCTTTGCAGTGCTTATTGAAAGTGCTCTGCATGATTCCCAAATGGAGTTCGAACTATCCTCGAACAGTCGTGTTAGTTCCTTAATCCAACGTACACTACTCGTCGACAAGCGTGCCGAAGTCCGGAAGGCTGCTGCAGATGTTTGGTTTGGCTTAACAGGGCAGCCTGTCACCAAGCTTATTTTTTACAAATCCTCTGACGCAAGATCGCCCCGCTCTCGCTTCTCAGCAGAGAAAATTGAAGCATGCTTAACCATTCTTTGGAAATCATTGGTGGAGACACTACCAAGCTGCTACTCATATCCATCCACTTCCCAGCAGTTATTCGATGTTTCATTAGCCGTTTTACGTGTCATTGGGAAGTCAATGGCTTCCACTGAACTCGTTGCTTGCTTTCAGCAATGGGGAAATCTGCTCATTTCTTATGACCATCAAGAGGTATGTTCAGCCATATCGTGTTCTGTAACCCCACATTAACTCCAGAACAGATTGTTGGAAAGCCACAAGATGACTACGTTGTGTCGGGCTTCTGCGACCTCCTTCAGCAGGTCTTTCGCTCCATACAGACCTTGCAATCGGACATCGCCACCAGGTGAGTGCTTATCTCTTGGATTGATACAGTAGTTGATACAACCACAGCCACATTGCTGAATCAGTTTTTGACACTTTTCTCTTCCCTGCTACTACATCAAAGGCAACAAGCGACTTATCCCAGCGCGTCCCCTTGCTCAAAGCTAGCACAAGAGAGGACTTATACAGTCTTGTCTTATCCTTCATCAGGGACGTATCTGAATATGATATCATCGTTGGGAAGCTTGATGGATTGGTCATAAGAGGTAAATGATCCTTTACTCTTCGGTAAACTTAGCTAACAATGCAAGAATCTCTTCCTGGCTTTGAGCCTCACATCCAAAGTGAGCGCCAGGCTCTTCGATCCGATATTGGCTATGCTGGGTTGCGAAATCTCTCCAATACTTGCTATCTAAACTCCCTCTTTTCTCAGCTCTTCATGAATCTAAGGTTCCGTGAGTTCATCTTCGGTATAGATCCCACACATACTGGCAACTCTGGTCAGCCTCTGGTACGTGAACTGTCTAAGCTTTTCGCATCCATGCAGAACCGGTGGGACAAATATGTTGACACAACCGATGTTGTTGCCTGCGTTGAGACTTACGACAATGAACAAATTGATGTTGCGATTCAAATGGACGTTGATGAGTTCTTCAATCTCCTCTTCGACCGCCTCGAAGGTCAGATCTCCAACTCTAGGGACAGAAACACATTCAGGTCACTTTATGGCGGCCAACTTGTGCAACAAATCAAATCGTGTGAATGCGACCACATTTCAGAAAGACTTGAGCCCTTTTCTGCGATTCAATGTGAGATTAAGGGCAAGTTGACACTTGAAGATAGCTTGCGAGCATACGTGGAAGGCGAAGTAATGCAAGGAGACAACAAGTATTCGTGTACTTCCTGCAATCGACATGTGGATGCTGTCAAGCGTGCATGCCTCAAAGATATTCCGGATCATCTCATATTCAACCTTAAACGATTTGATTTCGACATCACGACGATGACTCGGTGCAAAGTCAATGACGAATTCCGATTTCCGCAATCGATCAATATGGCACCATACAATGTCGAATCGCTCAGTGATCCAGAGATTCCTGCCTCACCAGATATGTTTGAGCTCGTAGGCATTCTGGTGCATAGCGGAACTGCCGAGTCTGGTCATTATTATTCTTACATACGTGAGAGGCCCAGCTCACGTTTTGCGTCTAATTCCTGGGTTCAGTTCAACGACATAGATGTGAGTGCTTTCGATTCGCAGAGAATCGCGGATTGTTGTTACGGAGGTGTGGAACTTGCATCGACTCTGCATTTATCGAAGTCACACAACGCGTACATGCTATTCTATCAACGGGTAGCCAGCATCAAACAATTCGAATTGATGTACGACAATCATGACACCGCCAACCCTGTCAGACTGCCATTCAGTTCTATAGTCAAGGCGGACATAGATATTCAAAACCAGAACACGATACGGTCGTACTGTCTTCAAGATCCAGGTCACGCACGATTTGTTCGCTTGATGCTCGAGCGAATGCAAGGCCATACGAGCCATCCATGCTCGCATGACCACGTTACTGAGGACAAGATGATCCGCCACGCGCTTGATTATATCCAGCAAATCTCCTGCCGGTTCAAGGAGATGCCAGAATTCGAAGCATCTTGCAAATTACTCCAGGACTATGGGCAGGAGTGCTTGAATTGCGCCTCACAAATTGCATCATTCTTTGCGAACACAGATTATACCATTTCTGATGTCCGCAAGGAAAGCGTGCTTCGCAGTGCTGTACTACGCAATCCCAACACATCAGTCCGTCGTTCATTTGCAAACTTGCTATGTGAGGCGCTTCGGAGTATGAGAAAGAGAATCAATGACCAGAATATGGAACCAGACCAACGCGCCGCACGAGAGACGCAATATCGCAATGCTTATACTTTGTGCGTGGGCAATCTTGCGGAACCATGGCCCGACATGCACAGATTTGGCAGAGCCTGGAATGACTACTTTGACCTTCTGTCACGGTTGACCGGCTTTGGCATCTGGGAGGCAGGTGTCGTTCTGCAGTTTGGATTTTTGGAAAAGGTAGCCGAAGTCATCTTGGCCGATGTTCGCCATGATCCCATGGATCTCCGGTCCAAATACGCGTCTTATGTGAACCTGAGAGAAAAGGGTCGTTTCTTCGGTATAGCTGGCCTCACAGCTTTGCTGGCCACAATTCTCGAGTATGTGCACTTCAATGGTAGTAGATACGAAGCGGACAACCATCGTACTGCCAATGACGACGGGTTTTACGAGCTCTCATCATACGAAATGCGGCTGCTACGGCCAGCTAGGCTAAATCAGAAGCAGAAGCCTAGCTTGGAATGGGTGCGAAGGATAATAATGACGAGGCAAAACCCCAATGCAGTGACGAAGATAGTGTGCAGCCTCTTAGAAGAGCCAAATCTTACACTGCCACTCGAGAATACACTCGCTTACGGCCTACAGACCGAGCCAGTTGGTGAGGCGATTGCATTCTTGGACCCTGCGATCACTTTCTGCAAGTACTGCAAGCATTCTAATCTCGTACCACTGCTGGTGAAGGATGCGCTCGGCGGAGTTGACAGCATTGGTGGCACTTATGGAAAGGAGCACCTCGACTTTATCATTGAGCTCGTAGATTTGGAGAATGAAGCGGCAGGTCTGACGAAGAAAGATTTCTTCACCCTAGTGTTCAAAAATCTGAAGAGCTGGGCGCCAACTCTGTTGCTGTACCCTGACGACATCCATTATGACGTCCGTGGCGATACGGTCAATTTCTTGAGAGAGCGGTTGTTTGACCCACCTGAGGAGGAGGGCTTCAACAGTGTGGCCCCCAATGCCTTGGAAAAGTACGCACGAAGCTTAGCGAGAGCCTGCGTCTACCACATTCAGCAGAACCATATCCCCAGACCTGGAAAGCAGGTAGCAAGAATCGAATTGGGACAAGCTAATCACATCAACGGCGTTGTTCAGCACATCTGCGATCATTTCTTCACCAGCGGCGATGCAGCCGATGACCAATTTGTAACGGACGCGATGGCAACCATAGAACATTTGCAGGCCTTTACTCAAGAGATAGCTGATGCTGCATCTGAAGACTGGCCAGAAAATGATTCGGTACCTGCGTCCGACTCAGACAATCAGGATTTCCAAGAATGGGCGGAGAGTACTTCATGACCTGACTTTTCATAGCACGCAGCATATCAAGCATACGACGGGTTCGCAGGCGCAATGTAACCACTTGGAGAATGATGATTAGCGAACAAGCGAACAAGCGGGCAAGGAAGGCACTGATGTGCACGGTAGATGGTTTCAAGGCTGTGTTCTGATCGACTGAGAAGTCTGACATGGCAGTTCTAGCATAATGATAGATTTCTGGAACCTGACATGGTGCGGTCGCTGGCATCGGTGGCGTCACTGGCTTCACTGGCTCTGTGATCAGCACATCTTAGCTCAGCCTCAGCCTGGACAATAGTATTTGGTGCTTCAATAAGAGATGAAGAGTACCACCAAACCGTACTTGAGGCATCCCTCAGCTGAAATTGCCTATTCTAGAATGGGCTAGGACGTATAAGTAGAGAATCTTGCCTGACCCAGAACGGTGAACCAATATTATCATGATTACTCTGGACTGGGTGTGAGGCTTAAATCGGGTTCCTGGTCATATTTGCCAACATATACTTAATGCTTCTAGAGTCTCCAAGATGTGAGGACCCTGCGACTCTGTAAATCTCTAACCCTTCAACCTGCGTACTCGTAGCCAGTCCAACTCACTAGCACACGCTTATCCGCTTATGGACTAGGCTGGCTCTCCCGGAAGGCCGAGTCAGCGCAGCTTCTGGAGAAATCCTGAGAGAGGTCTTTACTGATGCTCAGTCCATGGGAACATAAGAATCCACTTCTCCAATCTTCGCTATGGACATCATTGTTTGTAATCGCTTTGAAAGTTGTTGAACTCCTCATGGACCGATTAGCTTGCGAATAGCACCCTCTCACTGGCTTTGCCTTGGTTCTGCTTGTCCCTCTCGGTTTTTGTCTAACGGTCCATTCTATCGAACCAGCACCTCTCGGCCTTGCATCCCTGGTTACCAGTGTAATTTTCACGTCGAAAAGCTCCACATATCCTGATCGCTTTGGAGATTTGTCTTCACGCTGCAAGTTGCTGATTAGTCCTCTTCAAGACTGCTTGCGACCCACCATATCTCTTGGTCAAGCATCACTATGGCTTCACAAATTGCTGAAGGCTCCAGCTCAGGGGCTCAGAAGACAAATGCCCAGTTGCTGAAAGAGAAGCATGAGGAGGTGGAGGCACATAATCCTACTGTTGAAGACGCGGTAGACGAAGAGGACATGGAACACCCACCTCCTTCATCCAACATTTCACACCCTGTCGACAATGGCAGCATGTCTGAGGAAGCGGTAGGAAAGCAGAGGGTAGAGGTTCCGCCTAAGAAAAGTACTCTCTTGGACACCCAGTCAGAGGAGCTATTTCCATCCTTGGGTGGTGGGTCCAAGCCTCGTGCGGCCGCAGCAACTGCACCAGCCTGGGGAGCAAAGAAAGCCACACAAGCTTCTCGCTCAGCTGCAAATGGCGTTTCTAATGGCCTTTGGTCTGGCCCACCCGGCGCAAGTCCACTGTCTTCTAGGGCATCAACCCCTCCTTCTGGCATTCTTACTCCAGCCTCAAGCAGTGCAATAAATAATGCCCAGTCATCCAGAAAGGGTCCGATGCAAATGGCCATGCCTGGCAAATATACTGATAGTATCACTTTGGTCCCAGCTCAAATGGACAAGACCAGACCCATTCAGCCGTATCTTGACAAACTAAATAAGAAGTCAAGAGCAACTGTAACAAGACACACTGCTGGCGAGGGCTCATCAATCGTGTTTGAGGGGTCAGGACCGAAGAAAGACGTCAGTGAAGCACTGCGAACTATTGCCCGGGACCTCTGTGCGAAGCAGAAACTACGCTTACCTGTTCCTGCATCATGTCGTGCACACATCATTGGCCAAGGCGGTAACGTGATCAAAGACATTTCTGCCAGGACGGGGGCGAAAATCCATGTACCCAAATCCGATGTTCCAACGAACTACCAGGACGATGATGATTCTGTCACTATTGACGTTGAGATTGAAGGAGATCCGTATGCTGTAGAGCTGGCACGACTAGAGATTGACAAGATCGTTTCGGCTCGCACTTCAAGAGTGAACATGCGGCTGAAAGACATACCTCCAGAGTTTTTCCCCTTTCTAGCTGGTCCACATAATGCATGGATTGATGCAATGGAACGAGACAGGGACTTGCAGATCCAAGTACCACATTTCCATACTTGGCAGCACAAGCCGCCTCCTCGTGTCTCAGGGCCGGATGAGCGTCCTGACTTCCAGCCGCACCCCAATCTGCATGTACAAATTCAGCTCGAGCAACAGGTAGAGCAGCTTCGGAGGCAGCTAGCTGTGGAAGACCACTCTTTCCAGCGCGGACACCACCAATTTATCATTGGTGAGAGGGGCATGTCACTGCATGATTTCTTGGAAGAGACGGGATGCGTTGTTGTCCTGCCTCCTGAGCATGATGATACGGAAGATATCACAATCATTGGCCCCGCTGAGAAATTGCAAATTGGTGTTGACCGAGCTGCTAGTCTTGCTGCAGAAATGCAGATGGCGAACCTCGACCCTCGGCGATATTTTACAGACGCTCTATATGGCCTTGACGCTCACTCTCGAGCACTGTCCAGATACTTGCAAGAAAGACAGCTAGAGGAGGAAATCGAACACCTCTATGGCGCCCAGCTCGCCTTCCCTCCGTTGTCAGATCCATCTGTCAACTGGGAGATTTACTCCCGCGACATGAAGAAAAGCATCCAAGCTCGCTCTGACTTGGCAAAGATCATCCAGGCTCACCCTCCTGCCAAGCTAAGCCTGGTCGAAGTAGATCCGTTCTTCCATCCCTATTTGCGACAGCAATGTCTCCAGACTTTACGTAATGAGTACGGGGTGAACATGATAGTCCCTCGAGACGGTGAATCTGAGCATGTTATCCTCGTTTGCGAGGGGCCAGAGGGGACGCAGTCGCCATTCCAGATCCCTCGTCAGCGTCCTTCGGAAACAGAGATCGCTTCGTTCCAGGAAGCGCTACGTCAAGCAAGAGACCAATTGCTGAGCATCATTGGGGATAGATCCGAGGTAGCCACCAGCCAAGTTGAGGTTCCTAGAAAGTGTGTTGCCACATTCTGCCCCCCATGAATCAGCTAATGGGAAGATAGGTTCCAAGAGAAACTGCAGAAACATATTGATCGAGAGCAGAAACAAACACAGCAGAAATTCCCAGTCCAAATTGTCCTGGGCGAGCCCCACGACGGCACTCGCAGGCAAGCTTCAAATTCTGGCGCGCCGTCTTCGGAGAATGAGGCTCTACTTCGTGGATTGAGCTCCGACGTCGCCGACTGGGAAGCAAAGATTATGCAGTTCTTAGAGAATGCTGAGAAAGAGGAGCAGGAGCGTGGCTATACCACGTCATTCGACTTTCCTACCAAATTCAACGGTTATCTGATTGGCAGAGAAGGCGCCAAAATCAAAGAATTGCGAGAACAATTCGATGTGGATATCCGGATGTTGGACGATGGCAAGATCGAAGTGCAAGGTCCCAAAGCAAAGGCTGATGCTTGCAAAGACCATATCATCGGGCTACGCAAGAAATACGAAGACGAAGCCACCTATATCCTCAAAATTGAGCCAAGATTTCATGGCCAATTGGTGGGCAAGAAAGGAGCTGATGTCAACCGATTGCAGGACAAGTATAGTGTAAAGATACAGTTCCCACAATCATCCAATGCACATGATGATCAGTCGAGTGCAGACGCCGCGAGTGATGCAGGGCCGAGACGTCCAGCACGATCCAATCAGGCACAAGATGAGGTTGTGGTTCGAGGTCCACGTCAAGGTGCAGAAAAGGCACGAACAGAAATACTTGATCTATATCAATATGCGAAGGACAACTCCCATAGTGCTACAATTTCTGTAGCTAGACAGCATTTGGGGTCTTTGATTGGTCAAAGAGGCAGCGAGATTGACCGTCTTCGCCTGGAGACTGGAGCCCAGATCGATTTTCCCGACAGACAGGAAAACGCAGATCCAAAAGCACATGCTGAGATTGTTATCAAGGGAACAAAGCAGGCTGTGGATGCGGCAAAGGCAGAGATACAGAAGAGAGTGAAATCACTGGATGATACTGTCAACAGATCCTTGGACATCGACAGAAGATACCACGGTTCTCTTATTGGCGCTCAAGGTCAGCTAACTCCCAAGTGGACTCGTCATGATTCTGTGCTTACACATTTTCAGGGGCCAATATCAGACGGATAGTGGTAGAAGCAGGTGGGCCGGAACAGAGCCATCAGGTAGTGAAATTCCCGGAACGAGGGTCAGAGTCAAGCACGATTCGCATTGAAGGATCCGAAAGCGTTGTAGCACAAGTAGCTGCTGCGATTGAAAAGTTCGTCCTCGATCAAGAGAAACAGACTACCGATTCGATCGACGTACCTGCGGAGAAGCATGGCCAACTTATTGGACAAAGGGGCGAAGCCAAGCGGAGTCTTGAACAGCAATTCAACGTGTCAATTGAGATACCAAAGAAGGGCACTGACCGGACCGACATCAAAATTACAGGTGCACAGGAAGACGTCGCTAAGGCGAGACGATACCTCGCTACCCTAGCAGACCAGAGAAAGGAAGGCGAAACCATCGATATGCCCAGACACCTACACCATGCCATCTCGGCAAATGGCAAGCTCTTCCGGCGTTTGAAACAAGACCACGACGTCACAGTCGATCATGGAAGCGCAAAACCACCCCCCAAGCAGCAGCCAGGCAGCAGCGGTTCACACTCTCGAACCAATGGCTCTGCTGGTGCTCCTCTAATCACAGACGAAGACAGCGCCGACGCCCACTCGTGGGTTATCATTCCAGCGGAAGGAATGGAGGAAGGAGGAGATGGCTCGACAATTCCTTGGAACCTCTCCGGCCCTTCCGCCGAAAAAGTTGCCGCAGCCAAGGAACGTGTTCTAAAAGCACTTGAGACCGCCTCGAAGCCATCTGCGACTGGCTATCTTACCCTCTCGGATCCGAGATATTATCGCTTTGTTATTGGGCCTGGTGGCAGGAACATTAATAGTATCCGTGAGAGGACGGGTTGTGCGATCCATGTGCCGAATGCAAGGGCGGGCAAGGGTGGTGAAGAGGGGGAGGCTATTGAGATTGTGGGGAGTCAGGCGGGCTGCGAACAGGCAAAAGACATGGTGCTGGAATGTGTGAGGACAGGTGCAGCGAGGGGATGATGTAGGGATAGCACGGATGGATCTCCTCCGATTGCTTTTCAATTGGAATAAGGAGTACACCGTCTGACCTGGTGTCGGCGCGCATGTGCTGCAGGAGTGTACCTCTACCCCCTTCGAGCAAGCAATAGGGCAGTCTAATGACTGGAGGAGTCGAAAAAAAAATACAAGTCAGTGCAGGTAGATACTTATTTCAGGTAATTCACGCCGTGAGTACCACGTATTTACGGAGGCAGACAAGCCCAGTGTTGAAGTAGTGCAGCGTTACTGCAGTGATTACTGATCACTCAGGGACTGTGGCCGATCATTGAGACAAAGGACTTGGTTCTCATCCTAATCTTATCCTAAAATACTTGTGGGGGTATTGTTTTCTTTTCCTTTCTTTATTTTCAGGGGCGGCTGCTGTGGAGGCGCTTCTGGGATCGGGAGTGTGGAGTGCGACTGGTGCTGCTGCTCCTCCTCCTCCTCCTCCTCCTCCTCCTCCTCCTCCTCCTCCTCCT